TAAAGTCAAAAATATTGTTTTTTTGATAATTTAAACATGGGCGGGGCCGCGGGTAATTTAGTAGTAATTCTAATAAAATCATAGAAAGGTCGAATTTGTACATTCAATGTTTTGGAATTAAAAATACGTATCTTAAAGACACATGGCGACATCTATTGACAAATATGTAAATAATACAAAAATAATTATTCATTCAAATATTTTTTTAATGAATAAAATAGTTAATAGTGCTATTGATATACTTTTTCAAGATTAGCTATTTTTAATAGTTTTTGACATATTTAGTAAGTTAACTTGCTAAAATCTATATACTTAGTATCATCGTTTTTTTTTATCTAACCAGTTTTTGTATTTTTTCTCAGAAATGATATATTTTTCTGTGGTGAAAAGTATCCTATATGTTGACCCGGATAATCAGCTATGACCATACCAAATTTCTTCAAAATCTGTCCAGTGGTTTTCTGGTGAAAAAATAACTAAACGGAGGTTTTTATTTAGAATAGATACCTAATCAGATACTTTCGAAGTCGGTGCCAGCCGATGCAAAGCAAAGCAAATCTATTTCGATACGTATAAATACATCACAAATCTATACAAAATGTAACTGAGTTGAATCTGTAAATTAAATATATTTTTGGAAAAATCTTATTGATAGACATTATTATCGATCGGTCGAATCTATAGTTTTTAGAATTTTTGTCTGTCTGTCTGACTGACTGCATCACGAGAAAACCACTGGACAGATTTTGATGAAATTTAGTATGATCATAGCTGGTTATCGGGGTCAACATATAGAATACATTTTACTGCGGGAAAATATCTCTGATAAATCTATACTAAACGTTAAAACGTAACGTACCTATTACATAATTTTAATAATACATATATGTGCCGATAATGTGTTGCATTCAAGTTTTTAAATTATATAAAACTTGTATGAAAGTAGCGACCTATCACTTAATATTTTATTTTTATAAAGTAAAAGGTGTATTAAGTAATCGATACTTAATTTACTTATCAATTTGACTCTAATTAGGCATAGACAGTTATTATTCGATCTTCGTAACCGGCCCTGATTTTCTGTAGGTATGTCGTTCATTGCATAAAATGTAACGTTATGTAAACAGACTGATATACTAATGTGTCCACTTCGTTTTGAGGTTAACCCGAAATTTTTACGTAAGGACTAAATAGTGATGAAGAAATGTAATCCATAGAGTATAGGAAATGAAATCTATTTTTGTGTACTACTTTCTTTGGTGGGCAGTGGTAGCTGACGCGCTAGCTTGGGAAAACGTGTGAAGCGGGTTCAAATCCCGGGTCTCGCACCTCTAATATTTTCATGTGCGAATCATTCCCAATATGATTAGCACTTGCCTTAAGGTGAATGAAAACATCGTGAGGAAACCTGCATGTCTGAGAGAACCCACCTAGTTTTCTAAAGACATCTGGACTACACATGTCTTTCGAAAATTGTTAGGTTCTATTTCTTCTTGCTAGATGCCAACCTGCACTCGACCAGCGTGGTGGAGTATGGCCTCACTACTACTGGCCCACTCGTATTGAAGGGAGGCCCGCGCCCAGCAGTGGGACGTTAAAAGGAATTGAATATATATTTTCTTTGTAGCAGAATTAGTAGCGAAAATTATTTAAATGGGACAGCCTGGGAAGTATACCCTTTGAAACAAAAAAAATCTTTCTTAAATTTACGCGAATATTTGACATTTTAAATAAAACTATCTTTTCAGATTATTTCACGGATTTCGATTTCCGCGAAATAATCCGAAAAGATAGTTTTATTTTTTAAAAAAAACCAAATCGGTGAACGTACATAAAAAAAAAAGATTCCGACGAATTGAGAACCTCCTCCTTTTTGGAAGTCGGTTAAAAATAACTTTAAGCATTGCGTTTAAGGTTCAATTTATTGTGTATCTAGTGCTTTTTCGATCGATGGGTAACACATACATAGGGTAACCTAATATTTATAGAGTAACCTAATGGTTAACCAATATTAAGACGGTTAATCCTATGAAAAAAATGATTTAATTAAATCTGTTCACTCGGTGTAACCGTATTAAAACTTTTTTGTTGTATCCGATTTTAATTTAACAATCTTTGTCTACGAACTCTTGTAGAGTTTCGATTGTTTACATCTGTGTAATATCATCATGTAGTAACTCCTGTATATTTGAAGTGATGTTAGAGCAAGTAGGGAAATAGAACGTTTTTCATAAATCAAAACAAATACCAACTATTTTAATCATTAAAGGAGTGTTTACTGTAATTAATGTACTCTATATTTTGTTAGGAAAAAAGCTTACGTAAGTATTTTTTTTTATTTTATTAATTTTTATAATGTAAACTTGTAAAGTATAGTAGTAGTGTACCGTTTACGGGGTAACCAGAGAGAATACGATATCTGCAAACCTCTATTTAAATGAATTATAACTATAAAAACTCGCAGCTTTCACTGACTTGACTTGAACAGTGGTGTTGAATAATTTATCGATTTGCCATATATAGAAAAAGAAATGATCTCCAGTTAAAAAATATTCTTGGCAATGGCGCATCATTATTTGCTTTCTCTGTAGACAGTAGACGCTAACGTGGGCGGCTTCCATTGACGTTGCTGTGTATGCGCAGTTCAGGTCATCTGCTTTATTTTGAGCTTTGCATTTTTAAACATTGCATTCAAATGCGGGGCTTCGAAGTCTTAAAATAAAATATTTATATGTATTAATATACCAATATAAATACACATACTATGTATTAGTGCTCGTATGCTTTTATCTATACTAATTACTAATATTATAGCCGATTTAGATGAAATTTGGTAAGAAGATAGTTTGAGGAGAAGTACATAAGATACTTTTTATCCCGGAAATTATCCCTTAAGGTTGTGGAAATGGAGATGAAAGTTTGTATAGGGAATCAACCTAGGGACAAACCCGACCGAAACGACGCGACGGTGAATCGCTAGTACCTACCTATTATAGAACTCAAAATAGGCTGGGATTGTTAATCAAGAAGTTATGATGTTTCAATTACTGAATAAGGTACAGTAGGTATGTATCGGGAGTGTTTTACCTTATTTTGTAATTTTTAGTTGATGTATAAATTTATAGCATGTTTATTTTGTATGTATTTTGTATGTATCTATTATCATGCGGTAAGATATATATTTAAATGCTCTCATTTTGCTCTTTAAATACACGGTAGCGAATTTGTTGCTTATCTCAAAAGAACTTGTGTTCGTTGTTGTGTTCGCAGCTGCGTTATGCGTGTCTAATGTTATAACAAGTTTTCGTCAGTTGTATGCACAGAAATTTTAATAATAATGTGACATATGGCTCAAGGAAGAAATCCTCATTTAGCTAAATACAGCTCTTACAGCGCGGTGAAGTTAGTGCCTTAAAACTTTCACATGCGTGATTCATGTCGTAGCTGTCGTGATATTTGTCGACAACGCTTGTGTCACTTGTAGCACAAGATGTGTTGCGAACATTAGCTTAACATATAGGTTAGCCATTTTATATACTGATTCTTCTACCCTAAGGTTGCCTGGAAGAGATCGCTTCTAGCGATAAGGCCGCCTACTGTGCATCTTTCTTTGTTATATATTTCACTTCTTTATTTCTTATGTGGTGTGCAATAAAGTGTTCATTATTATTATTATTATTGTTAGGCTTAGGTTAGATTGTCACCGTAAGATGACGCTCTTGCTACCTGCTGGCAACCTGGCAAATTAATCATAAAAAAATAGAAATATAAGCGTCTGCACGGCATGAAAATATATTACCAGTATAAAAATTATGATTTATTCTTACTCTTAAACATCATGTTAAAGAAAAAAATAAAAATATTTTATGATTAAATAAATTTATGATTTTAGTACTTATAATTATTATGAACGCGTGGCGCAATCGGTATTGGACATTTTTTTATCGAAGCTTTTTCGCTCTGGAAGCGTTTCGTTTTTTGGCCTTACCACATTTGATTTAAACTAGTCTCATAACATTGTTTTTGTTAGACGGCGACAAATTCTGGTTCCATCTCACATATTGATATTTAAACTATAAATACAGCAAGACAGCAAGGGTATTATAAATATAGATAAAACAGAGTAATAAAATCCGCGTGGTCGTAGCAATAGTTGAGGCCTAAGATAATGTGTACAAACATTATTCTACGGATCGTACAAATTCTACAGCAAACGTTCACGGCCCATGGCTTAATGCATTATAATTTTAGCAAATTTTTACGGCAGTGATGTCAGTCCTAATTATTACGCTGTAAATAATCGAGATAATCTTGGCTTGTTAATTTAAACCGCTAGAAGTCTATCTTCCTATCTCAGAGATAGTTTGCGACGCATAACCGGTTATTAACGGGTAGGTATTTAAATTTAATATTGTAAGTTTAAAAAGTTTTTATATTCTTATCAATACAATTTAAAGCTTATTATAAAAATGTAAACATATGTATATACATATTATTAAGTTTTAATTTGAAATTCTGCCTTTGTGGCAAAAGAGCCGTTGTCTTACGTAGAATAAACATTAAAAAAATTCTTAGCAGTAAGTAATTTAGTTAGACTTGAGAGTATTTACCATACCACATAAAAAAAGGATGACAGCCTGTTATTTTAAAATAATAGCAGATATAGTAACATTCTTCGGTAAATGAACTAGGTGACGTTTTTATTCATCTCGTAATCTAGTTTTATTTGATACTATCACAGTTTTTAGTATCTACCAAAATATCCTGCTCACTGAGCGTTTATTGAGTTTGGTTGAATCATGAGTGCAGTTGCGTTGGATACCTACTGATGTATGTATGTAAGCGACCCAACCTTATTGTAGGATCTGATGGGTCCATTACACGTGTGATCTATTTTATATATTCGCCAGGTTCCCAATGTCATGGGTGTGCTTAGAAACGTGTTATAGTGATAGTGTCAAAGTGTAGTGCGTTTAAAGAGTGTGAAAATAGTTGAGAAGATGTTAGCCTCTGCCGCTTCGGCTAGTCTGAGTCGGCATTCTTTGTCCACCATGTTCCAGAAGCGACGTTCCGTTGATAGACCTCTCGTTATGGTGAGTTTCGTGTGTGAGAATAATGTTAGTAATTAATATATTTACACGTTTTACATAAATTGTTTTAGCGGGGCTCTAAGTTCTAGATAAAATTATTGTTCCAATAGCTTCAAATCGTTTTAGATTGCAACTATGCAAAAAAAGTTTGTTTATCATTCCCTGTAATAATGGAGAAATTCGTATTCTCGCAGATTAATATAGAATCGGTATAAAATAATATAAATCAAAATATTAAACAATAATGGTTGCAAAATGATTACTATAAGCTTCCCATTTTTACCCGACTGCAGGAGCTCAAAGGAGGGCAATATTTTTGATCTGTATGTATGTATAATGTGTATGTATGTATGTATGTCCGATGAACCATACATTGTTAGATTCGTCTTTATAACGCAAGTGTTATAGGCTACACAAAAATATATTCAACCTATATGTTCAATTATAATTATAATCTATACTATAATATTATAGACGTAAAGTTTGTGACGTTGTAGGGTGTAATCTCTAGATCTACTGAACCGATTTAGATGAAATTTGGTAAGAAGATAGTTTGAGACTCTGGGAAGGACATAGGATACTTTTTATCCTGGAAATCATACCTTAAGAGGTCGAAAATTGGGATGAAAGTTTGTATGGGGAATAAACCAATGGACGAACCTGAGCGAATCGAGGGTGAGTCGCTAGTTCTTATAATTACATAAAAATTATTGTGCTTACTACACACAGTACATAATAGTCCTTCTTCGTACTTCATATAGGTACAAGAAAACAATATGTATTGTAATAATTCATATTATATTGATTTGATGTTTAAAATTTTATTTAGGTACTTTTTAAACGTTACAATGAATCAATCACAATTTATATGCCAACAATTAGAAATAAACATATACCTATGTATGTTATAGTAATTTCGTGTAGTATTGAAAACAAGCATAATATCGAGTTACGCGCACCGCAAACGTCCTTCACACATTAGTAACAGCCATTATATTATTATTTCTTAACATCCTTAAATATAATTTACATACTATGCTACTGATTACTTGCATAATACCTATATCTTGTAATTCGCCTCCGACCTCGCCAATGCCATTCAAATATCTCAACAATAAATAATAATTCGTAAAAATCAAAGGAATACGTATAAATTAAAATTGAGCTTTTCATACTTTAAGCAGGATATATTTTCTAGTTACATTTAAAAAAAAGAAAATTTCAAAACAATTCATCTGCCCATTTATATATGGAGTCACTTTTCGGTTTACAAATTATACTTACGCAAAGAATACGGCAATCCGTTGTTTCATTGCTGCTGCCTGCTGGTAACCATCGCCATCAACCACTAAGCAATGATGCTAAAACTATTTATTGAAGTTATATAAAACTTTTCTAGACGAGACTGAGCGGTAAGTCAATACATAGGAAAAATGAGTGAGAGAAGTGAGTGTCGCGTAAGTGAAAGTCAAACTTGTTATTAATAATATAAGAAATATTATATTTATAATTTTATAATAAATATTATTTATAAAAGTGATTATACATAGTTATATTTTGATTTGTTTTAATTTAATTGCGGGACCTTTCATGGCGCCAAAAAAGTTACTTCAACCGCGCGTAAAGGTTACACGCATTCATTTTTTATATTCTGTATTTTGCTTATAAATAAATTGAGAATATTAGTAAGCTAGGAGAGTTCGGGTTTATTCCGTTGGCCTCTCTGTAGGTGCAAGTGTTAGTGTTACTCTAATATTACCAGGCACTGGAAACTATGTCTCCGTTTATTCATCCTGTACATGAGCGGGGAGGACAAACGGAATATAATTGCTATAATTGCTTTGTCTAATGAAATGTAAGTGACAATATTTTTACGACGATAAGGTCGACAGTCGACACGCACTCGGGAAGAGATTAAACGTATTATATTGATTTATTTTAGTGATTTTTAAGTATTGTATTCAGCCCTTTTTAACGTCCCACTGCTGGGCACGGGCCTCCCTTCAGCACGAGGGGAATCAGGCCATAGTCCACCACGCTGGCCAAGTGCGGGTTGGCGGACTTCACATATCTTTTGAAAACTTGCTAGGTTCTCTCAGACATGCAGGTTTCCTCACGATGTTTTCCTTCACCGTTAAGACAAGTGGTAATCATGTTGGAAATGATTTGCACATGAAAATATCAGAGGTGCGAGACCCGGGATTTGAACTCACTTCATTCGGTTTCCCAAGCGAGCGCGTTACCACTGGGCTACCACTGCCTTTTGAAGTATTATTGTATTTTAATTTTTAAATTGATATTTTTTTTATAAGAAGTTGCGTGTCGATCTCTTCGAGTTCAATTAGCGTTACAAGTAGATATAGATTATTTAGAGTCTCGTATACGATGGTGTCGCTTGTAAGGAATCGCATCGCAACCTTGTATCACTTACACGTAAGAAACGGCTCTAATTGATTGTAGTTACAACATAAGCATTATACTGTATAGGATTAACTTACCCCGGAAAAAAAGTTTTGTTTGCAAAGGCTATCTGACATCGTTCTGTAGTACTAATTATTCTAAGTTAACACTTTATTGCACAGTAAAAATGGTACAAGAAAAAAATACAATTGTAGAGATGAGCAAAGGCGGCCTTGAATCTCGTTAGTAGAAAGTAGAAACGATACTACTCCAGTGTTATATGAAGTATTGACCCTAATACTAATAAAACAAAAATATTTTTATATCTACAAAAAAGATAGTAAAATGTAGAGCGCTATCGATACTCCGAATGGCATTTCGAGTACTTATTGCTAAACTTATTCTCAACGTTTTGAAAACGGACACGAATCTATGATTTTATCGCCAGATAAATCTGATACTAGAACTAGGTGTATGCATTTCGTATGTTCGAGAGTAAATTTTAAGTAGAGTTCCGCGATGAGGCCAGTGATGGCGTGGCTAAAAATAGCCAACCGTTAACGTTATTCCAATGGTTCCCGCTATACTGTTCTATTGACATTGAATGGTTTTGATCCGCCCACTGAGAACGTGACGTCGTCTGACCTACTTGATTCACTTCTGGCGCACACCTCAGTCCTGAGGGAGTTGTTAAGCACATTTTACGACGATTTTTTGGTACTATGCTCACCTGTATCTAAATATGGCCACATAACAGATTTTTGTTAATTTGTGTTTCAGGGAAACAGCCTTCATTTTATATTACATACTAGCACTGCCCGCGGCTCCACCCGGGTTCAGGGACCAATATTTATTATGGTTATATGAAATTACTTCAACTTTTCTAATTTCCTGCGAATTGACAACAGATTTATATATATCTATACTTATAATAAAATTCTAACATAAACCAATTTTACATGAAATCCCTCCAGTGGAAAATCTTATTCCGTGATCGATACAGAGACCGAATCTATAGTCTATAGATTTTTGTCCTTTGTATCGATAATACCGCATCACAGAAAAATTTTCCAAAAAATTTTGATGAAATTTGGTATGGTGATAGCTGGTTATCCGGGTCAACATATAGGATACTTTTTACCGCAGGAAAATGTCTCATTTCTGAGAAAAAATACAAAAACTGCTATGTAAAAGTATACTAATATGTAAAATCTAAGAATTTGATTTTTGTTCACCTGAACGCGGACGGAGCCGCGGGCAGTGTTATTGTGTATGTATATATATATATATATATATTATAAATATTATAACGTCGCTTACATATACAAAATCTTTTTGTTCTAGACTCGACCAGAAAAGCCCGCACTTGGCAACAGACCACCACCTCCTGCAGCTATAGTTCCAAAATCCGTAGACGGACCACGTCCCCCCGGGTGGAACAGCCAGCCACGAAGACATGGTTCCAGCCGCTTTAACGTGCATCATCACAACCAAGAACTTGTCAAATTACCGCCTATTAAAGGTAAGGTACATATTTTGTAAAGTATTTTACAGTTTTACTAAAAGTATGATATTTAGAATTTTTCTTTACCTACCTATAGCGTCACGGAGGAATCATGATACAAACAAAGGCTAAGAATGATTACATTATCTGCCTATCCTGGTAACTAGTGAGAATAAAAGTTCGAAAATGAAAAAAGCTTAACTAAATATACTAACTACGGCTATATCTATTTAAAATATTATTTTAAGCTTTTTCTTTTGTTATGTAATATGTACACCATTAAATTAAAATATCGAATATTCGCGTAAATCTAAGAACATATTATGGAGAGTATTTGTTCATCTTGCAAAAAGTATTTCTTCAAGTTTATAGCTCTATAGAAAAATATATTGACGTTTTATAAAATAAATAGAACAATAAAACCGCTAGTAAAATAAAATAAATAAAAATTAAAAGTTAAAAAATAAAAGTTTTATGCAAAATCCAATTTTTCTTCACTTGGCCATTGCCGCTAAGGTTAAGATTTTAGAGAAATAAGCGAAAAAAGTTAGGATATTTTGATGCATATTTGTTTCGTGGTTCAATAGAGCCCTAAAATGGATTTCTAGTTTAGCGATCAACCGATCAACGGTTCTAATAATATAAACAAATAAATAGATACAAAAAAGTGTGCTTAAAGTATACTCGTAAATGTAAAATCGATTTAAGAAGATATTAAAAAGAGAATGATAAATAAAATTATACGGATAGTAGAGGAGTGCAAGAAGCTTGGATGTAGTAAAAACAATGGTGAGCACTGGTTGTGAGGAGCAAACGGCGCGTTGAATGACGAGGAAACGGAACTCGACACAAAGCAGAGGATGCGAGCGAAAGCCGGGACGAGCGTACGCCACTTAGCGAAACAGAGCAAGGGTTATATTCTCACCACAGGGTACGCGCGCTCTTAACAGCTATATCGCATGATGATATTTATATACAATATACGATTAGTAAACAACATAGTATCCTCTATATATAATTAAAACCTCCAGGTAAATTTCTAAGAAATTAATTAATTTTCTAAGAAATCTATTGTTGACTGTAACGCCGACGTGTCCGCGGTCGTTGAGGGATTAACCTAATGTAATTTTAAAGCTTTTTTTTTTGGAACTTAATTATGGTATATTTGATTCTGCTAAAGTGGACACTAAGACAGTACTACCTCTTGTCAATGATTAATAATTCAAGCCATCATGTTAATTTAAAGCCTTTTTTAATTGTAACCCAATTATTGTGAAACTGAGAGTAAATAATGAGGGAACTCGGTGCCACGGTGAAGTTGCTCGTACTCGTTATTATACTGCACCTATAATGAACATATGTACACGTTTTTCAGCGGTATCTGTACCAAGGGATCAATACCTAAACTGTAGAGAGAAGTTAAGAGTATTAAAATTCAGATTTGTTTGTTCAATTTTACATGCAATGTAAGAAAGTAAGGACTGCCTGCTTCTATTTCTTTTACAACTACTAAAAATGTCCCGAAATATATTTGTGTGGAAATGCGTAGAGCGAGAGAGCGAACAATTGAAATGAATCTTCAGCTTCGTTTGCTATTCTGTTATTTCTTTCTGTATCATGAAAGTTTCATTGAAGTTCGTTCAGCCGTTCTCTAGAAACGCGCGGCTAAACATGTAAACTTTAAAACCTGTTAGGTCCTAAAAGTTCCCTACATCAAATTTTATAAAAAAATTTTATGATGAATTGGTTTAAATTGAGAAGCACGCTATATTTTTTAAACTCGCATCATATCATTTAAATTAAGAATAATACATTTGATTCTCACGTCCCCGACACTCATTTCTCCAATATATTGACTTACCCTTCAATCACGGCTAAAAAACTTTTACTTCAACCGCGAGTAAAGTTTATACGCACTTATTTTTTAATGACATAAAACCGATTCTGTCGAATTACATATATTTTATCGGTTAAATATCGGTTAAAATTGGAAAACCAATGTAGTCTATCTTATAAATAAGCAATAATTTGATGCTTACCGCGTGTAATAAATACCATTCCCTTTTAATCTAAGCTTCTTTGGCAGCATTTATCACAAGGCATAAGTAAATTTGACAAATAGAATTTATTATTTCAATTTGAAATCTCCCAAGAAACCTTTATTGCTTGTGAATGCTTCTATTGGGCTTATTTATGAATATTGATTTGTTAATATGTCATTTAGTTTATTTAATTGGGTTTATTACTTTTTTTTTGCAATTACTAAGCGGCGAACAGCTGACCTATGACTATTACATGGTTTGTTTCACTCAAGCAATCCGTCGACAGAGACTGCTAATTAGCCTTCTTATCTCAATTGCGGAGTGACTATCCGTTGTTTGACATCGCCTCTACACTACAGCGTCCTGACAAAGGTTTATGAAATAAAGAGATAAATGCTCGTAGCCGTGAAATTTTTAAATGAAATTAGCGTTGTTATAAAGAAACCTCAAAGAAGTATTATTACTTATTTAAGTGTGCCAGTATTAATCTTAACTGTTTAAGGTTGCAAGAACCAAGTTATCCAGAAAACAATGACATCCAGACTCTTAATAATATATATTTTTTTTACAAATTGCCGTACGTTTTTAGTAAAAGAAAATCATTGTAAAAATAATATTTGTTTTGATTATACGTTTATTTTTTACTAGCTGATAGAATGTTGGTCTGTCCAAATTTCGATCTTTGAGTTCATACATAAAAAAGTATATTTTTCAGTTTTTCCCGAATTCCCCACTTTTTGAGTAACTTCTCCAATTGCTTGCCCTATTAGGACTCTTACGTACATTTCAAAAAAGACATTATCCAAATCAGTCTAGTCGTTCTCGAGTGACGCGCACCAACAAACAGCATTCCATTTCTATCGGTATAGATAACGTTCACTAAATATTAAGAAATATAACTCATATGTATATTTGTCAAAAAATTTATAGAGGCAGTCGTGCAAAAATTTTCAAAGTAGTCTTTTAAAGAATTTCAAAGAAACTTAGAATATCATTTTTCCTTTTCAGGTTTCTCGTGACCCAGATGCTTATAAAACATAATGTTGACATTTACTTTTTTATCTAAGCCATACATATATAATATGTATATAGGTCTATATAAAAGGGGACCTTTCCTCAGAAACTATCAATTAAAAGATTCTCAAGTCAAATATCATTTGCTCTGCCAAATTTCAAATGACTGAGCAATTTTAATGAAGGTACTTAGGTGGATGTAGAATTTGTTTTAGATACTGTTTTAAATATTGTGATATGTTTATATAAAGAAAATTATACATATTAGCTTAATTTATTTATTCTTATAATTGCTATTGTGTTTCTGTAAATATATGGGCTTCTCATAACATTTATTTATTTACCATTTATTTACCACAGTTGTTTACCTTAAAACTAAAGATAAGATGATAAGATAGCATAGTTTACTTTCGAGATTAGTTATTACCTTCATAATATTCATATTATAAATATAAAACGCCATTTTTATTTGTAATAACAATAAGCAAAATAACAAATATAAACGAACACTTTGAATGTTTATCATTTCAACAGTTGAATCCTCAAAGAAAAACGTCATCATTTGTATAGGTATTTTGGTTTCATTTAATTCTACACCAGCATGTTTTATTCTGTTTACAAAGAACCCCGCACAATCTTTAAACTTGAAGTATGTACAAGGGTCGACAAGTATTAACAACTCTTGCATGTTTGCGGCAACGCCAAAGTAATGCGTGAACACATAGGTGGCTCATTTACATAAAATCCATTTTAGGCACGAGTCAGGACATTTCAAGCCCATAGCCGATCGATTGTTTAATCAAGGGGGAAGTGAATGCGTCTGCTGCAGGAATGTTCCCCTTGTCTACAGCCTATAGGCTCGCCCCGTTCACTCGCCCGGACATACTCGACCTTGTGGATCGTACTTCCTAGAAAACATCTTCACGTTTTAATATTGTATATCGATTTATCAATGGAAGTAAAGGTCGTGAGGAATAGGGGATATGCCCTGTATGATATATTTATTATTTAGTCATTTTATGAGCTACAGTTGTTTCGAGTGAAGTCTAATATTCATGACCTAAAATTGTTGTTTTTGGGATATTATTTTCGCCTATCGGACGCCATATCGGTGTGTATTTAAAAAAATTAAAGTATAGGTAATAGATATATGTTTATATTTTTGGAAAATATTTTTGTACATTGGGTTTTTTAAATATAATATTCAAACTACAAAAGAAAATGGCTCCAGATGCACTATGCATGAGGTATTTAAATAAACCTAAAATCAGAAAATAGCTACAAACCGTAGTCTAATTGAGTAGAAGTCTCAGAAAATGCAATTAATAAAGTTAATATTTAATAAGACATATACAATATTTTGAGAAAGTTGTAGAATCTTCTTTAAATTATATGCGTAGATGCCTATTTATTGCTATTTTAAGATAATTTATATACCTGAGTGACCTACGGAAAATTTCAGCCCATCAAAAGGTCATCATCCTATCATTTCATAGACAAGTGGGGAAGGGGCTGGGACGGTCCCGAGGAAAATTTACCATAGTAATGTATTTTTTTACACCATCAGATAGTAGAGATTTCAAAGAACAAAAAGCCCACCAACTTTTTTAAAAAAGCAGATATTTTGACGGGAGAATTTCCGATTGAAAATTAGGGTGCTTCTTCGATATTAAGTCAAAATAAGGTGAAAAAAATAATATTTTAAATTAAAAAAAATACAGTATGTTTGGGACATAAAAAGGTAAGTATTCACCAAATGTCGTGAAAGGAATTTTTCTTTTGTAAAAGATAAAAATAAAAAACCAAAAACTTGGTTATTTGAATTTTTTACATAAATTTTGAGGTTATGTGAAAAAATTGTAAATACAAAAGTTGTAGATCTCTTTATTACCTACAACTTTGCCATTTAACTTTCTCCATATTACTCGTAGTTTTGCCGGAAATCGAGATAAACCGTTTTTTACCCTTAAAAGCTGACCCCATCCCATATCCCGACCTCAGATCGCCCGTAAATTATTTTTCCTTTCATTTTTGTTATATTCTCTTTCTTTTCCATTGGATTTCATCATACTCATCTATTTTGTTGTTTCAAAAATTATCGACCTTGGTCTATTAGTGATAATAGGAGGATAAAAGCTATATATGAATAAGTACGGAAGGTCGTAATTTTTGAAGTTATTAATATGAAAATTGGTGTCTAAGCTTCTGTTTTTATTGCCAATGGGAAATCAGTATTTATAGCTCTAAAAATATAGTATTTTAAGAAACTGGTTTTGTGTTTTTAACGGCCTTTACGTTTATCTTTCAAAGATATAAATTTACAATAGTACCTAATTACATAAAGTAAATGTCGATGTTCAAATACAATATTCATCACATAGAAAGTTCCGTGAAGCCAGTGATAAGTAAGGTGCGGGGGGGTGCGCGCGCAGCGGGTGTGCGGTGGTGAGGGCGCGGGCCAGTCCGGCCGCCCCCGCAGCTCGCACCGGTCCGGCGCCGCCGGCTGCCGCTCGGATGCCGCTGCCGGCCGCCGCCTGCGATGGTCCACGCCGGGCCGGCCGCGCGCGCGCCCTGCCGCGCTATGTTCGCCGCCGCTGAGGCCAAGCCGCGCCGTGCTGTCTCGCCGCTCGGGATACCCAAGTCGCCTTCGTTCCACTCCGGCCTGGACCTCGTCGCCAACCAAGGCGCCAAGCGCTCCGAGAGCGTTTCCGACGTAGCACGCGCGTTCCGGGTCGCGCTATTCGGCATGGAGGGCCCGGCGCCCGCAAAGGCGCCCTCGCCGCCGCCCGCTATCGCTACCGTCGCTGCGTCGCCCGAGCGCCCGCCGGCACCCACTAACGATAAAGAGAGCTTGATGGTGCAGTTGCCACTGCTCAAAGGTTCTTTCTACATTTTTGTCTTATCCGATGTATTAGAGCCAAATGTGTTGAAGCTGCATATGAAATCTATGGATTTTGTAGAGCCCGAAAAACAAGAAAATTCCTTAAAACTTAAGAAAAACACGATGTGCTTAGACCCATGCGCTCATCATGACGTTGGCGTAGCGTGTCTATGGCTTTATCGACCATGTAAATTTGATTGTTAAACGCATTTATAATATGACAAATAAGGGACATATTTTTGTAAGGGTGACACAATTACGTTCAACTTTCATTTTTTAAATGACGAGTAAAGCAACAACACCAAACGGCACAAACGCTGCAGAAATATATCGACCGTATCAAGCGGCCGCCTGTGGTGGCTAACTACGTAGTACATGTCATAGGAAATGTGATGTGACGTCCTTCACCCTATATCACATATTTGTAGTTATTATTCATGAAGCGTTATATCTAGAAAGGGACGTGAAAGCTTCGTACTTTAGAGTATAAGACGTATTCACCTGCAAAATGTATAATCACAAAAATTGATATCACGTGTTTATTTAAGCATAAGCTGTTTACGTTGCGACCATTTTACGCTGTAAATACAAAAATTACAAGTTTTTTTTAATAGAAAGTTACCTAAAAAGTCAAAGTGTCTTGAAAAACCCTTATAAAATAACCCTTATAAATAATATAAAAATATTTATATGAAGCCCTAATACTATTATTATAACACACAAGAAAAAACAAAAAACAAATCTATCTCGCGGGAACATACGGGTACATTTTTCCAGGATAAAGAAGTAGCCTATGTGTTATTGTGATGTATGAGCTATATTATTGTAAAGTTTCATTAAAATCAACGTAAGTGTAACAAATTAAGCATTATTCCAACGTATTTTGCTTTAATTACTATGTTGGTCTGTAAAAACAATCCATTTTTTATAATTAAAATATAAATTTGTACTGTACGTGTACATATGTACTTAAAAGTACAGATATCGAAGATATACCTTAAACTAAAATTTTACAAAATAAAACACCCGACTGTGTAAAAAGCGAACAAAAAGATGAGAACAAGTTATTAAAGAAACATAATAATGTGACGTTCTATGAGTTCGGGGATGGAAAATTAAAGAACGACTTTGGCACTACTGATTTTTATTGCTCTTGGTTTAACAACTCGCAGTTTATACACGGTTAATTCAGTCACTGAACACTAATTTTCACCACTAGATACACATTCGTTAGGACTTCACTTTTTTTTCTCATTTTCGTACTTCTTCTCAGTCTTCCCTTAGCTACGAAATTCAACTGGTCTCTCGAGACACCTCCTTTTTATATGCATAAACAAAGAACATTCTAGTATTTAAAAATTCGAAACCTTTCTAGTAATTTCGAATGTTATGTCCCTTTCTTACTCTTACAGACGGCAATTTACAACTAACTGTTCTTGTTTGATATTTCGAAACTTCTAGCAATTTCGATGCCTCTCTGAAAATGTTTTGTTTCCCTCTTACACACGGCAATTTACGATTAACTGTCCTTATCTGTTAAATGTCATGTGTTGACAACTGTAATAAGATGTACAAAGCATGCTTCAGACGTATATTTTTAATTTTTTTTTTTTGGTTTAAAGACGTTACACACTCTCCACTACCCGACAGTATTATACAGTCGGAGACATACAATAATTCACGTAGCAAGACTCGCAGCTGGTATAAAACCATGTACATACATATGTCTTAGACTGCTCAATACTATGTTTCTTCGTTAACTTGTTCTCATCGTTTTAGTTTACGCAGAATTACGCAGTCGGGTTTTTTTTTTAAATTTTCTTTATTTACAGTTTTTTAGTTTTGGTCTGTTACATATTGTTAGTTAATTTAATAAATTCATATCCTAAAATATTTATGTAATCGCCTCTTAAAAACCTATATTTTAATACCCCACTCGTTCCATTTGGAAAAAAATTTTTTTAGAGACACGAATTGGCATCTACGATCGGCCATTTTGCTTTTTAATGCTATCTATATACCCTATGACACTCGCGTTATCAAGACCAATCTAACGACGTTTGAATCATCAAAATCGGTTAAGCCACTAGTAATTACGAGGAAACTTAGGGTCGGACTTACATATATGCCTATATACATAACCCTCCAACATAACAAGTCAAATACATAACCCTCCTTTGAATTCGTCGCAATTGGGTAATAATTTCTACTACTTCTTCTACTAGACATATGTAATTATGTACATCTACGATGTTATTACATACATATATTATTCTAATCCATTATCCATATAACAAAGGAGTTGTACAGTAGGTACCAACCAAGTGATCACGATTTTCGTAATTCCGTCTGTTGTTTAATTCATTCAGTTGTTACAAATTAACGCATTATTCTTCGAAAAAAAAATGTTAACTAGCGACACCACGCTTCGCTCGGGTTCGTCCCTAGGTTGATTCCCCATACAAACTTTCATCCCCATTTTCACCCCCAGGGTCTCAAACTATCTTCTTACCAAATTTCATCTAAATCGGTTCAGCAGATCCAGAGATCACCCCCTACAATTTTACTCTTAATAGAATAAGACTGCTGTTAATGCCTACAGGCGGGCCTATATTAACGTTCCCTCGAACTGTGTTAGGCGTAATTATCCTTATGGATAGTGTATATACGAAAGAAAAGGGTTCGTTAGCTTTTTCCTCTCGCATGCAGCAACAGTGGTAGCGTCCTCACGGACTTATAATATTTATTGACATCTACAATTCAAATGTGAAATTGACAATTTCTAGGCTATTGAATAAGTATGTTTTGATTGGGACGAAATGAATCGACTTTATTTTGGTATGGATATGTAATGGATTGGAGATTAATAAAGGTTATTATTTATACCGTTAAATTTTGCGGTTTCCATGAGATGTTATTATATATATATATATATATATATATATATATATATATATTGCATATCAATGCGGCTAGTTTACAATTATTTCAAAACAGTTCATTACGTACTAGTATTATTTTGATAATTTAAGGAGCAATAAAACCCATAAATAGTAAACAATATTACATACAAATATAGTACATACATATGTATGTTATTATACAGAACAACTTAGTTTCTAATGTCAGTTTAACTTAGGCTGTGTCGACACAAAAGAAATGGTAGCCTATGTTGCCGTACTGGGGGACCTGTATTACGGCATACAGCGCCTATCCCAAAATATTCATATGTTTTTATCAATTATTATAAGCCTTTTGGTACAAAGCGAGGTTTTTTTAACATTTCGGTAATATATTACATTACTAAAAATAAATACTAATAATTATGATTGTTTGATCTCTGTAACATCTCTTCAAATCAAACTGCCCTTTGAAACAAATGTTAGCAAGTATTTTTAAACAAACCCAATGACTGTCGCCAGATGCGCCGGCCGCAGAGCGCGAGCAGCTGTTCGTGCGCAAACTGCAGCAATGCTGTCTGCTGTTCGACTTCGCGGACGAGCCGCTGTCGGACCTCAAGTGGAAGGAGGTAAAGCGCGCCGCGCTGCTCGAGATGGTGGAGTACGTCACCTCGCAGCGCGGCGTCATCACAGAAGCCATTTACCCAGAAGCTGTTAATATGGTATGCGCATTGTGCACCATCAATCTAGATACCTACAAGATAATTTTTTCGTCGAGCGATATTTGTTGAAAACACAACGTATTGATGTACAAACTTATATTCAGTGTCTGTTCTTTTATTTTCAAACGCTTACAGTCTGCAACAGTGAAACGTGGAAGTTAAACTATAGTACGGAAAAATTAATAAACATTAGGGTGTATCTAACTTTGACGCGCTTGTGAGAGCTTTAAAAGCGGTAATTATTTTATACGGTTTGAATATTTATGTTTGCATAATATTTTCTTGCAGAATTTCATCCATAAACAACACAAAGTGGTAGAGAAGTGACTTATATTAAAGGCTTGTGAAATTAAAATGTTGTCCCGACACATACAACACTAAACGTTAAACTTTCCACTTTTATTTACAGGACGTTTTGACCCTTAATAAATCTCACATGATTGTTTAATTTTCAAGTGTTAATGTAAAGATAAAATTTGTGCTCGTCACTGAAACGACTGCAAAGTGACCTAATTCACATTACGCGTTTAAACAGAGATTATTGAAACAGCTCGTCGACGGTATGCACTCACAGCCGACATTGGCTTTGACCCACATCTTCGTGCTGCGAAGTGTTTGTCTAACATTGAGACTTTAACAAAAAGCCGACTCATTCAATCTTTAAATTTAAATTAATCTCTTTAATAATCTATAAACAGTATGAAAATAGAGATTGCTTTTATATGCATAATTTAAAATTATGCCTAGTGGTAAACGCCCTTTTATACTTTAGGGGTTATATACTACCTACCTGGGTGGGTACCTAAAACAATCGATGCAGAATGATCGATGTACATCAACTTTTTATCAACAATAATTATACAAGAAAACCACCTTACTTTTGATCAAAACATGTTCGAATTTACACTTACGACCGCGAACCGTAGGTCGTTTCCCGTTTCCATTCAGTTGTAGATGTAGATATCTATGACTGTTGTAACCAGTAACATTTTTGTTTACAGTTCGCAATAAATTTATTCCGGACATTGCCACCGTCGTCAAATCCAAACGGTGCCGAGTTTGACCCAGAGGAGGACGAGCCGACGCTGGAAGCTGCGTGGCCACATCTTCAGCTAGTCTACGAGCTGTTCCTCAGGCTCTTGGAGTCACCAGACTTCCAGCCTAATATTGCGAAGAAATATATCGACCAAAAGTTTGTTTTACAGGTATGTATCTGGTATAAATATAACTACACAATACACATACAAGTGTATATTTATTGTAGTTGTGCGATTATTATTTATGTAAACGATTTAGTTAACTTACACACGCTAATGGTCGTTTATTGAAAAATTATCTTTAACGGCTTGTGTACGTATGTTGTACTGCGTTTTGCGTTTTCTTTCAGCATAACACAATGAATAAGCATTTAAATAGATATTATATGTCAGGTAGATGGGCCACAACACACTCTAGATTGACAGTTTTTATCAAAAGCTTAGCAAAATATAGGACAGCAAATTTATTTCACATTTTCCTATAATATTCTACAATTTTCATTTAAGCTGACTACATATTATAGAAGCATGCGCAGAGGACGCAGGTAGACACCGAACCTTAAATAAATACTTGACCGCGGACCCTCCCCGAGTCTCCGCGCGTCCGGTCAATAAAATCGATATTTGTGTACTCGCACGTACTGTAGCAGGGTAGGAAGTGTGGTGTTCCCACGTCGTTCGCCCTTGACCGTGGTGAATGATTAAAAGCAAACTCGCCTCGTTATGTCTTTTTCATACGTTTGCCGCCACTTCTACGGCGTTCTTCATAAATAGTGAACTATGAAATTTATTTACTATTTATTCGCAGTAAAAAGTTTGTTTAGTTTAGTCTTGTGAATGTTTTTGAAAGTTTAATTTCAATGTACCGTAGTTACTTTAAACAGCAATAAAATTAAAATAATCAGACTTCATATTTACTTTAAACTTTATTCTTTAAAAGCTATTTTCTTTAGTTAACCGTAATATAGCAGGACTAAAATGTTTTTAAGCATTATAAGATCAACGTAGTAACATATTAGCGTCACAGCTTATACGACGGGTCTCCTTATCCTCCAGTGACACCGTCGCGAGTATCAACAAATAGACGAACCCTAATAAGCTAATGGAGATTCGTTTGACACGCCCGCCATGCGTCATTCATTAACAAAATCACTCGTCGTTCAGTGCCACAGAGAGGCGCAAACCAGAGTGGGTACTCGTAATGCAATTATACTTCCTAATGCGCTAAATCAATCTTATAATCGAGTTTCCGATCTAATCTAAAATCAGTTTTTCTTCTTTTATCTGGCAAATAACGCCACTTGTAATAATTTCTAAATCTTCTCTGATTATCTGAGACTTTATTAGGAACCGGTGAAACCGACCTTTAGTCTTAAATACAGGGGGTGATAGGCAGGGATGAGAGCTTGTGCTGGAAAGATCATGGCATTTGTATACATTCAAAATTCTTAGATCAAGTGCTAGACTTGATACACTTAAGACAGTTTATTTTGCTATTGTGCAACCTATTATCGCATACAGTATCCCAGTATGAGGATGTTCTACTAAGTACCTTATGCTTCGTCTGGAAAGGGCTCAAAGAGTAACATTAAAGGTGATGTGCTCTAAGTTGTCTTTGTGCCTTTCTTAGAAAACATGCATATATACTACCTTTGACCCAAAGTTAGTTGAAAACAAATGAAGGGCTAATAGAGTTTGCTATTTCGAGCCACGTCGCACTGTTTCAGCAAATCACCAGTTTTATTACTTGAATCCCATAATATACAACAAGATAAATAAAGAACTTAACGTCTATTCGTACACACCACACTACTGTACAAACTTTTTGACGAATTGGCTTATTAAATTAAATTATGACGCGACTGAACAATTTATTAACTCTCTTATTTGAGAAACATAAAACTCATATCACACAATACCCGCCCATGCTCATAATACACACATATACACACTTACACAAGCAAACTCATACATGCACACACATTTCATTCACCAATAAGTACTGTTTAACAAATACAATTATCAACAACTTTACGAGTATAATATGATTAATTATGTATTTATTTATTTTGTAAATCATAACTTTTTTTGTCGAATATTTTGTTTTATGTATTTTTGATACTTGAAAATCTATTATTTTTTGTTTTATTAGAATTGATACGATAATTTAGCATATACAATAATGTAGCCTGTTGCTAGAGAGGTGGGCGTTGATAACTGCGAGTCAGTTGTATAACTAATCCAGTTATTAACATTTAAACTGTTTATGTTATTATACGCAAAAAAATAAAAAAAATATAATAACATACATAACTATAGACTATTTACTATCCAAAGTTTTTCCGTTATCTTAGTTATATTTGCGGATTTTGCCATTTAAATTAAAGTAATAAATAAAGCCTTATGGCAAAGGAAAACACCGTGAGGAAATGTGCATGTCTGAAAAAACCTAGCAAGTTTTCGAAAGACATGTGAAGTCCGCCAACCCGCACCTGGCGAGCGTGGTGGACTATGACCTGTTCCTAGCCCTCTCTCAACAGTGGGATTTTAAAAAGATCTGAATGAATACATACATATAATAAATAAAGTGTAGTTTCTGCCTGTCTGTGTCTGTCTGGAAACGCATCACAAGAAAACCACTAAGCGAATTTTTATGAAATTTGATTTGGTAATACCTGGTCAACATATATCAATACAATCGGGGTCAACATGAGGATACTTTTTACTGCAGGAAAATATGCGGGAAAGTAGCATAATCTAATGATTTTTTATTAGTATAGTAAATATTTTTAAGCTATTTTCATTATGAATGTACCATAGCGTAAACTGTGAAGCATGCGCATTGTGCTTCATCAATTTATTAAACTCTTTCTATTAATTATTAGTGAACAAAATAGACTATTTTTTCTGATATACCGGAAGAAAACGTCAGTCAAAATATATGTATTATATACATACGAGTACATGCTTACTACAAATTTTCATTACCACTAATTGCATGTGAAAGCGTGTGAGAGCGTGTGGGGTTGTTTTAATTGTGTTGACCGTTGTAACAGCGACATCGGACCTATTCTATAGCTCGTATCGTTATCCTCATAATCATTTAAGGAACTCGTGAGATAAAATATCAAAGGTCTCTATCTACTCAAATGGAGGGTTTCATTTTGACCTACTTCTGAAGAAATAGGTCAAAATGAATAATGTTTTATTAATTATATATTATTATCATCGTAAATGATTATGTAAATACTTTTGACATAATAGTTTCCTTTCAGTTACTAGAATTATTCGACACAGAGGACCCGCGGGAGCGCGACTTCCTCAAAACGACGTTGCACAGGATATACGGGAAGTTCTTAGTACTACGCGCCTACATTCGGAAGCAAATTAATAACGTGTTTTATAGGTGAGTGCTTACATTTGTTATATTCCTAGTTATTTCCCGCGACTCCGTCTGCGTTGTGCGGACGTCACTCATTTTGTTACTTATAATATACTAGCTGTGCCCCACGGTTTCACCCGCGTTAAATTTGATTATCAGTCTTACAATAATGTATACAAGTCTGCCCGATTTGTTGACATTTATGATCACTGCTTCGCTCCCTTGGGTAGTAGCACGATGATATATTATAGTATTTACGCCTTCCTCAATATACGAGTACATGTCATCTAATGCAAATTATTTTTTCAAATCGGAATAGTAGTTCCTGAGATTAGCGCGTTCAATTAAACAAACAAACTATGCCTCTTTACAAATATTAATATAGATATTCCTGTGATGTATTACCAATGACATTTATGTACTAAACTTACGGGGCGCAAAGGCAGCGTTGCTTCTAACTTCGTTTACTAACACGCAAAATCCCTTGACTTTGTCCAAGATAAATAATAGCCTGTCACTTTCGACGGAATCCTCAACCGCCAACGACAGTTCTGACTTCCATAAGAAAACTAACCTATGTCTTCCTTATCTGCATTCTCCCTTGTCAGTTGTCTGGGCCCCTGGATACTTTGACCCCTTATTCTATTCCCTCTACCCTACTTCACATGCATACATCACGTAGTTATAGGTATGACATGTAACACTTTTTGCACAAAGTGAAAAGTCACACGATTATTATTTATTATTTAAAAACAGGGTTCGAAACGATAATTATCATGATAAATATGGGTTGATAATTGTCTTTGATAAATATAATTGAAAATATTTAATTTGTAACTCTTGAACTTGTCGATCAGCTAACTGAACTCTCTCAATCAGCTCAAAACTCAATCAAAAAATTAATGCAGTTGAGTAGGATGAGAATGATATTCCACTCATTAAGGAGTCTGCCCACTATACCGTCTCAAATCATGACCCGTACTATGAACGTATCAGGCACGGAAACAAGCGACACGGTTTACTATGCCCACTAGAAAATAAAATTCTTGCCGATAATTATTGTTAACTGCCCATGCACGGCACGCGACGGTGTTGGTTGCTGACGGGAAGTTCTTGGTCGGTGATGGAACGGTCTAGTGGGCATAGTCTCATACTTTTCAATACAAAGAATATTCTTTTGCCTGACACGGCCTTGTTATGATCCTAGCACGGTCATGGTATGAGACTATGTGTCTATATAGTTGATTAAATTTATTCTGTTTTTATTTCATAATTTGTATTGTGTCAAAATAATGAAAAAATAATAATAATAAAAGATTACCTCGATTGTTAAAAGTGTATAATTTATTCTAACGAAAATCTGATAAGCAAGTAGTCAAATACCAATACCTACACAAGGATTGCTAAGTTTATATCTGTTTGATAATTATCGGATAATTATCTGATAATTATCTTGATATTACACGATAATTATCAAAAGATATATTTATCTGGATAATTTCATACCCTGTTTCAAAATGATAATGATATGCTATGCAGTGTGCTGTACTCTGTACAGTGAACAAACATATAAATTCCAAGTAGGAATCTGGCGCCGTGTTAATGAGAACTCACTCTATGAGCTTTTCTGAAACGATCTACAGTCCGTACGCGTATCCATGGGAATGTATGACATCACCTGACACCTACACATAATGTATTGATTATTACATTACGTTCGACAGACATGAAATATAGTTAATAACAATCGATCATTATATATCAATCACCCTTACCTTAACTAGCTATATTTAACCTGATTGATTTCTTAACAGCTCTCGATTAAAGTGATATTAAAACAAAATATATAGTTTCCCTTCCCGCAGTTCAATCGTTATTTTCATAGTCGGACGAGGATAACATATCGAAAATGTTATGTATGTCCGTAAAAATATACACGAATTTCCCAAGAAGTGTAACATGCATAACATTAATTAATACTAGGAGCAAACACAAACTTGTAATGCCTGTGACTTGTCTACACAGAGTCAGTAATTCTTTTTATGGACAATGTATACGCTTGACGCTTGTACAACAGATCCTAGAAAATGTTCAAAAAGCTTCTATCGCCAAATTCAACAAAATTGTTAAAGAACGTTTATGTGCTAAAGGCTATATTATACAATAAATGATTTTATAGAAAATGGCACACCTTGGGAATGAAACAATCGCCTCCAGGCTACTTCAACTTGATAGAAATATTGTAAATTATAATTTTACTTTAAAAAAAAAGATAACTAGTTAATATTAGTCCCCCTGAATTTCTTTGGCCAGTTCTTCTCAGGTCTGAGGCTTCTTCTTTCCGAACTGGTAGTAGACTCATAACATCCAGTAAAAAATTGTAATAATTTATTGCTGAATAAAATATTTTAAATTTGATGACTACGGCGTCGTACTCGTGCACTGCTTTTTTTACTGCACTTTGTGCTGTCATTTCAATGGAAATATAGTTTAACGCTTTCTAAGAGGTCTCTTAGATATTTTTAAACTAAATCTATATATGTATACATATAATATCTATATATATAAAACAAAGTCAGGTAAATAACACCATTTATAACTCAAGAACGGCTGGACCGATTTCTACGATCTTTAATTTGTTGGATTTGTTTTCGCCCCGAATAGTAGAATAACTATTAAAACATCAGAAATTTTCACCAAAAAAAACGTTTATGAATAACGCTAATAAATATTTATATCTATTTAAACCATAGCTAGGAACGAACCCGAGCGAAGCGAGGTTGAGCCGCTAGTATAATATAAAAACATAAACCACTAGCATTAAAGTAATGTCCATATAAGTGACTCGAAAACGATTTAACATTGACCGTTTCGAGCAGGACCTTGGTTTTTTCCGTCTCCTAATGTTGTACGATGTTAGTAAATCATCCGCATTGTTCGCGCCGTGTGAAACTAATGACAGTATTCCGTGACGCTCCACTCTTCAAAACACAACCCATTAAGATTGATATGCATATTGCATAGCATTTTCTACACACTTACTAGATTTGTGTTTGGTACACGTGTGATTTCAAGTGCTACGTTGTTTAGAATTTTGTTTAGATTTTAAAAAGAAAGTTTTCAAGTTCAATTAAATTCCTTAAAAACTACTACATATATACTACTATAAGTAGGGTACTGAACTATTTAACACATTGCAGACGTAAAAGTACTTGTTTGTTTTCGTATTTAAGTGGTCCCATCTTAAATACTGACTCAGTATATATTCTGTTTTTGTGGCCTAAATTTGACAGCAAATGAATATTTTGAAGAACTATGTATGTCGAATAAGATTAATTAAAAGTTCATACTAGGGAAGGCTGTTAGAGATTCAAAATACGTATTAGTGGACATTTTCGTCAATAAATTAAAAATAAGGAACCAATTCTATAAATGTACTATAAAATGGATATCGCATCAAATATTTTGTTATTCTTAACAAATATCGACTCACCGGCCTTAGATCTATAGTATACTTTAGATCCTTAGCGATAGTTTTAACGTTAAATGAGTATTAAAATCAAAAATGTGCCGTAACTCGCAGGTTTATATACGAGACGGAGCACCACAACGGCATCGCGGAGCTGCTGGAGATCCTCGGCTCCATCATCAACGGCTTCGCGCTGCCACTGAAGGAAGAACACAAGTTATTCTTATTAAGGGTATGTTACTCTTGGATCCTTTATTCATATTACTTTATTTTAATTCCTAGCGATTTACCCTCGCTTTGCTCGTCACATTTAGTTAAAACCGTTCAGTATTTTTTCCGTGAAAAGTGAACAGATCCACAGATAAACAGACAAAAATGTCAACAACTATTGTTTTGTGGTCTCTATAAATACTACTAGACTAGTACAGGTTTCGCTTTGTTGCTATTTTATTACATGTATGTTAGTAGCGACTGAACCTCGCTTCGCTCGGGTTCGTCCCTAGAGACGTTTTGTTTGTTTTGTGGGAATGAGATAACTCCCGCGGTAAAAAGTAGTCTATATCACTCTCCAGCTCTCCAACTATTTCCACACAAAACATCATGCCAATCCATCATTTATTTCACGTTTGACGACACGTTTGGCTCAGTTTGTAGTGACCCTACTTGCTGTGCCAGCGGTCGCGGGTTCAAGTCCCGCTGGGGGCATTCATTTGTGTAATGGCGAATGTTTGTACTCCAGTCATGGGTGATTATATTTATAATAAGTATGTATTTAAAGTTATATATGTGTAGTGTATCAACTATCTGGTATCCATAACTCAAGCCTCGCAGCTCATCATGGAATTAGATGGCGCTATGTGTTAATGTCCCAACATATTTATGTATTAATATTTCATGCAGTCATTCTGTTTCGACGTGAAAGAACGACACAAACATACCTTCACATTTATAATATTATACTATGGATATACTTTTCATTTGCCATGTAAATATGATGTCGATGTTGTGTACACCAGGTGCTCCTCCCGCTGCACAAGGTGAAGTCGCTGTCCGTGTACCACCCGCAGCTGGCGTACTGCGTCGTGCAGTTCCTGGAGAAGGACCCGTCCCTCACGCAGCCCGTCGTCAGGTACCGAGCGTGTCCATTCTATCATGTTTTCTTTCTTTTCTGTAAACGGCCTGGCCAACGCCATCGATCATTTTCGAAACGGCTTGCTCGTGCTTCAGGAACAAATATGTATATAAAATTATTCACAAACTCCTATTTAACCCTTATAAATAAACCGTAGATAAATAAGTGTATTTTTTCTATACAATTCCATTCATTATATTTTAGAGCGTTATTAAAATACTGGCCGAAGACGCATTCGCCCAAAGAGGTGATGTTCCTGAACGAGATGGAGGAGATCCTCGACGTGATCGAGCCCGCCGAGTTCCAGAAGATCATGGACCCGCTGTTCCGGCAGCTGGCCAAGTGCGTGTCCAGCCCACACTTCCAGGTAGATAAATGAGTAATTTAATTCACATAATTATTCAAAATGTTTAGTGTCATGTTTAGGTCTGTTGCATATTACATATTACCAGTTTTTTAACTTGACAGGCGGAATATACAGGGTCATTTTTAATTTACTAAAAACCTTTTGGAAATACACTATTTACAACATAACAACAACATCTGGAAGAAAAAAAAATACATCTTAAATTTAACAAAAATAAAAATATTTTTATATTGCACCTTCTCAACGGTAATAGTCCAGCATTAGCAAAAGAAAGTGCGTGTCCGGTGGAGGGGGAGGGTTGGAGGGGTGTAAGAAGCCGCGCTTACTCATTTAATCTTGGCCAGATGCTAGAACTTTAAAGTTTAGAAGATGCAAAAAAATATTTTTATTTTTGTACGAAAATAAAAATTTCAGAATTTTTTTTTTCTTGTTACAGATATTGTTGTTATGATGTAAATAGTATATTCCCAAAAGGTTTTCAGTAAATTAAAAATGACCTTGTGTACCATAGAGATATAATATTATATTCTTTATTGTAGGATAAATATAAAAATTACATACATAGAAAAAGTCCCGGACCAAGGTGGAAAGGGACATAATATTTTAGAGACAATTAAATAAAATCGATTTGACTTTAAAGTTTAAAAACTTGTCAGGATTTAGTAAATTGTTATTTTCCTACGAGTTTTTTTTTGTATGGTATATAATATAGAGTGGTTTACTTTCCAATAGTGTATTAAAATGATTTTGACATGCAGACTGAGGCGACGTGAGGGAGTCACCAGTAAAGCGCAGTATGTGTTTGGCAGGTGGCGGAGCGCGCGCTGTACTACTGGAACAACGAGTACATCATGTCGCTGATGGCGGACAACGCGGCGCACGTGCTGCCGCTCATGTTCCCCGCGCTCTACCGCAACACCAAGAGCCACTGGAACAAGACCATCCACGGCCTCGTCTATAACGCGCTCAAGCTCTTCATGGAGATGAACCAGAAGCTGTTCGACGAGTGCACGCAGCAGTACAAGCAGGAGAAGCACAAGTACCACTCCCTCTTGTTCAATGACCGACAACGACACTCATAGTGCTGTAGGACATATAAAATAATCATACATACATATTTCTAGATAAACGCGAAAGTAACTTTTCTTCAATTTTTGCTGTTGTAAAAAGTTATTTATAAAAGAAAATATTTCATTAACAAGGAAAGGCAGGAAAATATATTTTAAACTAGCATTGCCCGCGGCTCCGCCCGCGTTCAGATGACCAAAAACCAAATTCTTAGGTTTTCCATAGTATTCGTTTATCAGAGAGCACGTGTCGAGTGTGAGATTGTAAGTGTGAGACTAAAAGAAATAGAGAGTGCATATGTGTACTGTATACTGAGCACACGCATGGTATGTAATAACTCGCACGTACGGCGTGCGAGTTGTGTAAGTCGAGCACGTAGACGTAGGCGCGACGTTGTTTGGAACGAGTTCGTTAATATTAGTGACAATAAAGTGGGGCTTTCTACTGGGCAGGGAGCGGGAGCGTCTGATGCAGCGTGAGGAGCTCTGGCAGAAGCTGGAGGAGCGCGCCGCCGGCAACCCCGCGGCGCGCGCGCTTCCCCGCGCTCCCCCCGGCCCCCCCGCCGCCCCGCCCGGGGCCCCCGCCGCGCCGCCTGGGGCCCCCGGTGACGCGCCCGCCGACCCCGCCCTGCCGCGGCTCGACGCCGAGACCATCGAGGTAACTCTCTATACCTTCCTTACGTTACGTAGAAATGTTACATTTTTTGGAACTAAGTTCCTTATCGCACGGTATACTCGGCGGCTAAAAAGTGTAATGTAATATTTCGACCGTCACGACACCTTTTAGTGTTTACTAAGAGCACCCCGTGTGACTTCATCAAAAGTACCAGGCAAACATAAGTGTTTAGGAGTGTATGTTGTAAGAATTCGCGTGAACTCTGTGCCGGCCTTTCTTCGATGAGCTTTAACGTGCACAATAAACGTTGCTTGATGTTATTATGCTACCCTGGTACTTGTGACAAGTTTTTTACAAATTTTACATCCGACTATGGAGCGTAATTTGTGATTCCTTAATTCATCTATCCCTGTCTATCTTTTAAACTACCATTCATAATTTGACAAATGAGGTATCGTTAAGCTATGTGACGTCACACTAAATCCAATATGACACTTCTTGAGGACATAAAATTGTGTATTAAAATCTGTAGTTGGGTTAGTTTTTAAACATGTTCCTGTGCTTACATACTCCATGCCAATAAAATGTATAATGAGGTATTTTATCGTGATGGTTGACGACGTGACGGCGTGTGTGTGCAGGCGGCGCGCAAGCAGAAGTACAACGCGAGCAAGCCGCTGCTGCGCAAGAAGTCGGAGCTGCCGGCGGAGCGCGGCGCGGCGCCGGCGCCGGCCGAGCCCCGCCGCGCCGCGCCGCCCGACGCCGGCGCCTGCTAGCCGCGCGCACGGCACACATCGCTCCTACGAATACCTTATCTGCAATGTAGACGTACTGTAACATATGTACATTATATATAAATATGTATAGACCGACGAGCGTTATTGTTCTAAATACTTGTTATATTAAATGTTCAAGTTTTAATGTAAGAACGAAATCCATCCGCTTTAGAGCTAACTCGGTTATGACGAGGAACCTAGTTTACACGGTGTTAAGCTGACCCTCTGTTGGGAAAATTGTAACTATGTATCTGTTTAATTTAAATTACAAAACTTAAATGAATATATTTTATAACTTTTGTTCAAAAACATAAACTGAATTCATTTAAAACTAATCTGTAACGACAGGCACTAACACATAAATTTCATTACTAACAAAAACCATTAAAGAACAATTAAAAAGCAACTGGTGATAGTGACTTAGAACAATAAACAATTTGAAGTTTCATATTCCTTTAGTCTATCCACTGTGTAAACAATAACGAACCAATTTCCCGAGGCGTCATCGTTCAAAGATTACATGCGTTATGTAAACCGCGTGAAGGCGTTTGTCGAATCAAAGACTTTACCCGGACTTGACTGTTATATACACAAAAATATGACGAAGCGACGACTTATTTATTGTTGGTTAATAGATTTTGATACATTTGTTAAAATTAGACGTCCTATAACGCTACAGATGAAATAATTGGTATTCCAACAGTAAATAAGTTAGCTTTTAAATTATATTAATAGTTATCATTACTGTATTTAATTGTATACACACATTATAGTTAACACGTCCTTTGGATTGCGTTCTCAACGTGGAGTATTATAACAGTATTTCATCGTCTATTTAATATATGTATGTACACGAGTACAAACAACGCGAGTCAACGTGAAGCGCACACGCAGGTCGTACAATTCGTGAACAGGTGTCATTGTTATGTCATGTTTATTCCTCTTATTTTATTACGTTTTAAATAAGTTTCATAAGTAAATTCCAAAGAGCGCAATCCAAGCGGCGTCCCGGTGCCCCGGCGTCACGTAGTGTGCGCACTGCTTTAGAGCAATTCGGACCTCACTACACATGATAATGATATGTGCCCGCTCACCCGCCGCGGACTCTAGTATAGTTTGGTAGAATGTGCTTTATTTTGGCGCTAATTTTATAAACGACATATATTTCAAATGAACACCGTTTCGTACGTATTGGCTTTGTAAAGAAATGCAATCACAGAGAACCCATTACTCATTTCTATGACTCGACTCTGAACTCTCATACTAAGGCTACTGCTGTTTAACGATAGGTCTACTGTCTTCTAGTGATTAGTCCATACATATTTTGATAATAATAATATGTTTTTAAAAATTTCTATTTCGAATTTGTATAGAATAAAGGTGGCTTCTGTCGTAAACTTATATCAGTTCCAGACGATTGTACGTGTATTTCTTTATTAAACAATGAAAAAGTGACATAAAAGTTAGGAGCGACATGGACGCTACAGTGAAGTGAAGTGCATTGTGTATGTAATATAGTCTAGATAGTATTTAAAATAACCGCCCGTCGAAGGAGAGTGTGCAGTGAGCGTATGCGCCGGCGGCGGGACGCAATGTACGATTCTTCTTTGACGGGACCACCTTATATTATACGCTGTCTGTCCCCTTCTTAAATTCTAGTTCATTTATTTCTTTAAATATGTATCCATTTTTTTATGATTAAGACCTTATTTTTATATTATATATGTATCGTAGATCAAAATTATTTTTTTATCTGTTGTATCAAATCTTTATTATGTACAAATTAATCCTTGCGTAGATTATGATGTGATATATTATTTCCTTATGAAGGAGACCCATGGTGACCGTACCCGCGGCCCGGCGAGCGCCCGCGCCGCGCCCATGTCCCGTTTGTCCCTCACTTGTTAATTTTTAAAACATCAACGTGTTGATTAGAAAAGAATTGTTTACTTTTTCTCGACGACAGTTAATTTTTTATGTTAACTTAAATTATAAGCAAAGGTAATATATCATATAAATTATAATTCGCTAGGGACAGACTTAATAGGGTTCATTAGAAAAAAATATAATCGCTTAGTTACTTTATTTATAATGTACACTTGAACTATTTTATAACAAAAGTGGGGCTCGGTTTTTGTATTTGTGTTGTGTTTATGAGTCGCCCGTTTCGTTCCTTTGGACACGCGGCCGCGGCCTCGTGTGGCCTCGCGCGGCCTCGCGTGGCCTCGTGAGGCCTCGTGCGGTCGGCTGCTGCAGGCACCGTGTGACCTGCTTACTGAATATTGAATAATATGTAAATTGTATTGTACATGTATGAATAATGCGATCGAATGCGAGAGTGCGAGTGAGTGCGAATGCCCGACAGTTGGAAACACCCACATATATTATATTATTATTTAAATCAAATTATTGTAATTATTAGCAGTTTTGCACGTGAAGTACCTATGAGTTTATAAAAAAGTTTCATAATGGACTGAACATTGGGTAGAATATATATGAGGGATTTGATTGACATGAAAACGTATAGTGTCAATGTGTTAACAATGCGAGTCACCCCGCGAGCCACCTCGCAGCTACCCCCCCGAACATTTGCGAAGCTGTTCTACAAATTGATAATTTTTTGTATAAATATTTATAACGATGATGTAACTGTTGAAAAAAATATTGTAACAGGTGACATATTGTAAGGTGCTTATGATTATCGTTATAATACAAAGTTGTGCATACGCCGGTGTTTTATTTACCCTTATTCGACTGTTACTGTGTCGCGTCGTGGCGACTCGCTTACGAACGTAACACAAAATGATTTCTGCGACAAATGTTGCTTCTGTTTAATATTCTTTTATTTCATTAGGGGCTATTCATAAAATACTGCCACGCCCCAGGCCAAATGAAAGTATTGAGTTTTTCTATCAAGAAATTTTCAATGAGAGCCCGCAGTTGGAGAGTAGGCGGTGTTAAACCCTTACTTCGGACAGCACGCCGACGTGTCGCAACCTCGCCGCGACTGCAGAGTTGCCGACGTCGTTACTGTCGACTTGTATTTTAGCCTCTGTGAAATGAACTGGTCGGGAGGAAATTATTCACAAAATATGTCAAGAAAATTTTGAGACTTCTTTGACCCTTCTCTCAATCTACGTCACAATTCCACGTCTGTCGCAAATTAACATAATGAATAATTGTTGAATGAAAACCTTTCGTAATGCTAAGAAATTTTACTAGTATTTAATATTTAAATTATTTCTATTGTGCGGGACGGATGTAGTCTATATTGTGTAAGAAGTTTTTAGCACTTCGTCTCGCGCCGACCGCCGATAGCTTTACTACAAATGATACAAATAAATATAATCTATAAATGTCGACTGTCGTCTTTAATCCCCTGATGTTAATGTTTGTTATACAATGTACCTACATGTTACCGTGCTAATGTAATTCGCACCGGCAGCGGGACTGGGCAGATATTATAACAGTTTAGCTAACATCACTAAGTGGCGTTGAAATGAAAACTACCGCCAAGATGAGCAAAGCGAAGCGCAAGGGCACTAACTACCTTTTCTCGAAGCGCTTCGTCGTTTTTTTTGAACCCTCATAACTTAGGTTTGGATTATACCAGATAAACAAAATTCTCGGAATATTATGTCAATAGTAAATTTATTCAAAATAAAAAGTTTCAATTGCATAGCTCTCTTATACTTTAGATTTTATTGACATCTAAAAAACTCGCGATTTCGTCACAGACTCACTGATGATCATCAAAAATTCTTAGGGTACTTCCTGAAGTCCTAGAAAGCTAAAATTTGGTATGTAAGCTAGTATTAGTACATAAACAACAAAAAAATTTAAACTTGGAACTTTTACTCCCCAATCCCTTAAATTAAGGGATGAAGGTTTGTATAAGACTTCCGCAAATTTTGATACTAGAGGTCAGAATATTGATATAGGGACTCCTTGTTATAAAAAATAAATTACATATTTCAGGATTTTTAGTAAATCACCCATGCCATAAGCAACTTACAAAAAGAAGTGAAATCCCACCAAATACATTATCATGTAAAATGTTGCCAAGACGAGACCATATGGCTCGCACTGTCAAAAAGTTATCAGATCTCATGTAGAGCCAAGCTTCTAACTCTACAAGCCCTAATTTCACAAACTCTGTATCTTATTCAAAATATGTTGCTTGGCCGTATCGTTACTATAAGAACTATTGTATAACAGAAAAGTAATGCACATTGCACAGTGAATAAATTTTTCACCCATGTGCTATTTGTAAGATTTCATCGATATCATTAATTGTAACATACAATTTTCGTTTGAGACATTTCATCCTTACCATAGACTATCCATTAATTCGGTAAAATAGTGACGGTGAACCTTTTTGCATTTTCAGTAGCTTCACCTCTTTTAAAAATAAATAAATGCTCTAATTAATAATTAATCTTATTTTTAAAAATAAATGTTTACTTTGAGTGTAACTTGATTTTTTGAGTGCTTAAGACACTTTTCTTCTCCACGATGTTAAGAGTCGATATGTATAATTTGAAAGATTTCATCGTTTTATTTAATTCCAAGACGCAATGTTTGTTCGAGAGATTTTATCCTTCCCATAGACCATAACGATTAAATCCATAAAATAGTGACTGTGTCCATTTTTGCATTTTTATTTGGTTCGATTCCCGATTCAGGTAAGCTCTTTTTAAAAAAATGCAGTTATTATTATTTTAAAAAATAATGAAATGTTTCCTTAGAGTAAATCTTGATAACTTCAATATTTTAGGTACTTTTCTTCCATGTTCCGTCGATTTGTTCCACCCTATATATTAATTATGTAAAACTTCTGATAAACTGGCGCCGCACTAACAATTATAATTATTATATTAAATTTATGTCCCTGTCGCACTAACAAATATGTTTTATAGCGATAGGACCTTACTCACTAGTGGCGCCAACTGGGGCTAACAGAAATTGGCTTTGTTTTACGTCAGACTACTATAAATGCGACATATGTGATATTAGTATAATAATAAGTTCTTTATTTCCAAAAGGTAGTAAGTACATCCAGATATTTGCTTAACACTAACTAAATCTAATTTGGTACATACAAATATTTAAAACATAGCATCTGCAGCCGAACTAGGAGACCTGTGCATCAGCTGTCAGCGCCATATCCCCACGGTTAGGTGACATAAATATTACCAAAAAAAAAAAGAATTACATATCAACTAAAGATATTAATTAATATTACTAAATATGTCATTCCTCTCTCTTAAGATGTGTAATGCATGACTGTAAGAAGTATTTGTGTAATGAGTGTAATGTGTGTGAGCAATTAAAGGAGAGGAGTGTGTAATGTGCGTCTGTGTATGTGTGTGTGTGTGTGTGTGTGTATGCGCGTGTGTGTGCCTGGGTATTATTATTTTACATAGGCAATATTGCAGGATCAAGTTATATAATAAATATTATGATCAGATATGAATACTAAGAAGGTTTTCAGTTTCAATATAAGTTAATTTTTGCAGGTAATCAAATACAGTTTTTTTACAGTCTATTTTATTAAGGTAGTAAATGTCTAATGTTTTATTTAGTTTATTATATAAGTGTGGTCCTAAAAATGCAAAGAATCTTCTTATAAAAGTTGTTTTAAAATTAGTTGTATCTACAGAAAATTTTCTGCGTTTATTTAAGTTCGTTGGGTCATATAGCAGTAGACTATGTTGTTTCTGAATGATCGTTAATATAAACAGTTGTCTTACCGTAAGGACCTTACAGTTATTATAGAGTTGTGATGTAGGATATAGAAAAGGTTTAAATGTTGCTACTTTAAGAATTGCACGTTGAGCGATTTCGATCTTAAGTAATACGGTTTTAGAAGCACCGCCCCACGTTGATATGCAGTACGTTATAATAGACTGACATAAAGCTAAGTAAACTCGTTTTAATATATCCGGATCCAATACGTGTCTAATGGTTTTAAAAATATATATTAATTTATGAGTTCTTCTGCTAAGTGTGTCAATATGTTGTTTAAAATTTAAATTCTGATCTATTATGACCCCTAAACATTTAATATAATCAACAGATTCAAGTGATAGACAGGAACAGCTATTGTCCTTAGTTAAACAATTATATGAATGAATTATTAAGTTAAAATTTTCAAGGTTTCGAATAGGTTTTCTTAATGAAAAAGCTATATATTTTGTTTTCTTAATATTGAGTGAAAGTTTATTACTGTATAGCCAATTAGTAATTGCATTTATACCTATCTGTGCAGATGAGAAAACATCTGCCCACGTATCCGCAGCAAATATCAAAGCAGTATCATCTGCATATGATATTATATGTCCCTGAGAGAGATCAAATTTTGTTAGATGATCAATATAAATAAGAAATAAAGTTAGTCCGAGTATACTCCCTTGGGGCACGCCATGTGTTACTAATAAGTCGTTGCTATTAATATTATTGACACCAACGCATTGATATCTCTCAGAGAGATAGCTTTTGAATAATTTGAGTTGAGTGCCTCTAATACCGATGTTTTCTAGTCGTTTTAATAGTATTTTTATTGACACGGTATCGAATGCTTTAGCCAAATCTAAGAAAACTGATATACATTTTTTTCCACTGTCTAAATAAGATGATATAAAACTTGTCAAAGTATGAACGGCGTGCTCTGTTGATTTGCCATGGCTAAAACCAAACTGTGTATTCGACAATAAATTATTTCGCTCCAAATAGTTTGTAAGTCTATTATTGATAATTTTCTCCAATATTTTTGACAAAGCTGTATGTGTATAGTGTAGTATGTGTGTTTGTTGCGTCCTTCACACTCGACGGAGTAGGACAAAATTAAGAACACAAATAGACAGACTGGCGCAGCACACTCTAGGTGCCGCGCGCGGACACGTAAGGCCGGTAAGTCGCTAGTTTAGCTATATTTGAAATGCTTGAAAATCCGAACTTACATTGGTGTTTGTATTTTCCAATGAAGTAAAATATCAAATAGTTATTTAAAGCATTTACTAAACAATTTTAATCACATGTTTTTGGTTTTATAAAGAAAGGTAGTACATAGTTTTAAAAGTGAAATAACAAAAACAGGTCAGTAATTAATACTATTTATTAATATTTATAAATACACATTGTATACCAGACTCATTTAATACATATAACTACAAGATTTCACTTATAACATGTATCACCGTCGGTTAAGTCCTCACACGAGTAAAAAACGTCAGAAGCCAATAAAATTTTAATAACTGTACAGAAGAGTTAACTTTTTAAATTAATATACTTTTATTTAATGTACAAATTATATTTAATTTCGTTTTCCGACCTATAGTTTACTCGCATGACCTTAATCTACGCTGCAAGAGCATAAACTTTATATATGTATAATATATAATATACTTCTTAAACATAAACAGTCAAAGTGATAAAAATCTCATATTTCGATATCAAGCCATCCCTTTGACCGCCTGTAGGCTGTACGCTTCAGAAGACACGGCGCATCAACAGCGTAATAGCCAACGTACATTTAAGAATACCTTGTAGGCAATTAACAGTAAAAATTAAAGATAAAAGATACAGGAACAAATGAATAAGCAATAAAAAAGTGCATACATATTGAAGTTTTATCTGTATTTCAGTTCCAAAAAACATTTACAAGTCACTTACTCCACATCTTCTACAACTCTCAATTTTTTTCTTTAAAAAGCATTTTATTAGAGATAATAAATAAAAAGCACGTTTTTAATAAAATATAAAGTAAAAAAAATTAGATATCTAAATCATTATGTATGCGGCTAAATAACGACTAACGATGCCAACATCCAACAGTGTGTCCTTGACTCGAGCAAATGCAATTCATTACATCTTCTATGAAAACATAAAAAATCTCATTTACTTTTCAATATCTGAACATAAGTGAATATATGTCAGAGCACATGAACTCGCACGATCACAACGTGAGGCGCACCAACACTTGCGGAGTAAAACTTATGACAATGAAACACGCAGTAGATTACTAGTTAATTATATTAAAGGACTACTCTACATAAATTGCATTTCGACTTACTGCTAGAAGTAACACCGCGAGCCGGTCGATGCGAACGGAACGGTCGCGATAGGCCTCCATGATATCAATAGGAATGCAAAGAAAAAATTATATTATTATTAATTTATTATTGAATTTTTCATTTGATTAACATAATATGGTAAAGAATTTTATATAATAAGTATATATCATAACGAAATATGAAGCCAAAAATAGAAGAATAGACGCCAGGCCAAATTAATTCATGATCTCATCTTTTGGATTGAAAGCAATATTTTCATAATGTATACCGATAAATGTTGCCAGGTTTCTAGATTATGTGCAGTGCAAAGTGTACTTAATATCGCAGAAAAACCATTAATATTGTAACAAGTTGAGGAAAATAAATATGTAATATTGAGGTCTTTTGATACAAACAAAGAAGCAAGCAGCAGCCCGTTGTTGTTATGTAATTTTATGTATAACCTGAGCAAATAAAACGGAGTTAGAAACACCCTTATTTCTGCAATTACATCGACATCACGAAATAGCATTATTATTTGAATGTAAAAACTTGCGAACGTAATATGAGTAGTGGTATTTATAATTGCATTCTTTATCTGCACTTGTATAATATAATTTAGTAAATTAACAAAAACATTTCATATAATTGAGTATTCCTGTACAACACTTATATAAATTTGAAGCCTTTGTCTAGTATTTTATTAACACAAACTAGCTATGTTACACGTACTCGTACATACGTATATCGCGAAGTACAAAATGGTCGATACTCTCTTTAACTTATTATATACTTATATCACTTCATCTTTATACATTTATGAACAATTTGTTACGTAATGAAGCGTACAATGCCTCACGGGGGAGCGCGTCGCGACTGCTGCTCCTTGATAAGGCAATGCACGATGTATCATTGACAGATCAACAAAAATCACCTGTTATGTTTTTAATACTTCTTGTTTTTGAACATTAATGTTTAGCCCATTTAATTAGAGGAGAAAAAAAATACTTAATTGTCTAAATAATATAGATCAGATTTTTTGGAATATTATACATCAGACTTTGTACAAAAAAACATTCGAATCGATTACTCCTCATTCTTTTAAAGTCAATGAAAAAAATTACTATTCTAATCGGGTATTTCCGTTTTACTCCAGCACATCGAGTCGTCTGAGTACAAAATCATCCATCTCAAGAAGACGAAGCCCTTAAAACTTGAAGTAATTTCAAAATATATGTTTGATCTATCTAGCGTGAGCGCTACTTGCCGCGCGGGCGCGCGTGCAGCGCCGCCGCGTGCTCCGTGAGCGCGCGCAGCTGCTGCTCGTAGTTGCGGCACGTCGACTGCAGCTCCTCCTCCTGCGGATCACACACGTTTTGTTTATTTATCACCTCTCCGTGTACTGTATGTGCATGTCTGTATTCAGCTCTTTTAATCGTCCTACTGCTGGGCACGGGCGTTCCTTCAATAGGGATCAGACCAGAGTCTACTGAAAATATCAGAGATCAGGGATTCGAACCCGCTTCACTCAGTTTCCCAAGCAAGCGCATTACCGCTAGGTTTACCGTATTACCATCTTGTATTATATACTTTGTGCATTACTGTAAACATAATGCTGAGCAGCTGAATGTAGCTAACAATTCATGTTAAGAGCCGTGAGAGGGGAGCTAGCTCAGGAAACCCCTCAACTGAAGCAAACTTTAGCTGTGCAAATGCTAATGTTACTTAAAACACGAGAAGAAGCCTCTTCGAATACCATTCAGTAGCCTTCGAGCGTTGCTTGGTTATTAGATAAATCAGACAGATTTAAAAACTGTTGATGGAATTTTATAACATTTCAAATATTGCCAAAATACAATATCCTATCCAAAAGAAACTGTACAAATTATCTGGACACATTACGTTTTTTTTTTATAATAAATTAGCTTTTTTAATGTCTTATTGTTTATTCTTCATACGAGACCGCGCGAGAATTTAACCACAATACGCTGGCGAGCTTCACATGTCTCGCGAAAACTAGTTAGTTCATCTCAGACAAGTCTCCTCACGTTGTTTCCCATTATCCATCACCGTCTTAGCTAAGAATAATCTTATTGTATACGAGTATAAGTTACACGTGAACAGCTTACACGGGGATTTGAACCCGCTTCATTTTTTTATACTGATACACAATTAAATAGAAAACTAAGTTGTATTTTAATTGGTAGATCAAAAAATATAATATTCAGTCTTGTGCTACTGTATCGAGCGGGCGGAGTACCTACTGGTTTTGGGATGGAAAAAAATGACATTAAAAATTTTCTATGACGGCATGGGAAAATGTACCGACCAGCCTGCTGATGGTGTCGTGCTTCTCCTGCAGCGCGCGCTCGTACGCCTCCTTCTCGCGCTCCATCTCCTCGAAACGTTGTTGCAGCATCTCGCACTGGGAACAGTTACTTATATTAATAATAATTATTGCACTGACGTTTTGACAGACAATTTGCAACACTAACTCAGTTAAATTTAGTATTGGTACAGTTTGTGCTTTAGAAAAAGGAAGTTATAAGAAATATATTTTCCATTCTAAGAAAGGGACCGATTTAAATATTTGCACTTGTCGTGGTCGAGTGTGTTAGCGATACTGCGACGTCCCACTAATACGAGGATGGATCGGGCTTTAGTGAGTGGTACTGGCTTTTCTAGCCGGTGAATCCCATATAAACACGTGAATATGCGGTAATAAATTAGTAAATGCATTTTCCAAAGTTAAAAAAAAGAAGAAATGTGTTATGACGGTCGCTCGGAGACGATTTTGTATGATGTCTAACGATATGGAGAGGTGTGTAACGTATATGTATGTCTGTTGTTATCCTGTATTACCTCCTTGACGTAGTGCCTGAGCTCGCTGGTGGCGGCGTCGCGCTGCGCGGCGCGCGCGGCCAGCAGCGCGCGGTAGTGCGCGCGCACGCGGCGCTCGCGCTGCGCCGCCTCCCCAGCGCCCTCCCCTGCGCCGATAGGCGGCGTCAGCGCGCCCAGCAGCCCCGACACGCGCCCCGCAGCGTCTGTCAGAGTTTAGACTGACACACTATACACGGCACACTCAGTGTATACACCGAGTGTATCCGTGCGAGCGCGAGTCGCGAGTGTCTCTAATTGTGAAATTTATTGTGACACGATAATCAGTGTCGTATCAGTGGCTGTGTGAACACGTTGTGTCCGAGTGTCTCATGTGGTAAAATAAATTTCAAATAGGCTTGACATTTTCGATACACCGCGTAGAAGATAGTATTTAAAAATGAGTTTCATGTGGAGCAAGAATATAAGGAGTTGGAACAGCTCGGACACAATTTCTGTACATTTATAAACAGACACAAAATTTTGTAAACCGTTAACAGTACAGAAATTAATATATAATTTTAATAAAAACATTTTTTGAAGGTTTCACTTCTATCGCGTGTGAACTGCACACATGTTTTTTATATCCAACTTACAATTCATCCCTTTAATTATTAATATTATAAATGTGAAAGTTTCGATAGATGTTTTGAATGTTTTGTTATTTGAATGAAATGCGGCTCGGTACAAATGTAATTAATACACAAAAATAAAAATATATTACTTACCCACAGAAGTTTCACTAAAGGAGTTAAAATCACCAGAGTCAAGAGTTTCCCCTCTTTTCTTTTGTGAATCCGATAGATAACTACGAAGTTCTAGTTTTAGACTTTCATTCTCCATTTCTAGCAATTCATACTCCAAACGAAGCTTTTGGTTTTCCTAGAGAACATACACATTAAGAACTACAATAGGAAATGTTACTAAACATTTTAATAAGAAGCAATTTAGAATATGTTCGGAATATTAATATTGTATTCAAATTATTATTTATTACCTTTTCTAATGTGTGTACCTTAGTACTGGGCTGCTCATTTATATTCAAATCATCTACAGAACTAAGGGCATCTTCACTACCAACCTAAAAAAGTTACAATATAAGTACTCTCGTTCGCCCATGTGGCCACAAAACAAAAGGCATAAGGCCTAGCACCTATTTCATAAGCTTTTATTTAGTTTCACCTGTCCCAGTGTGTGTAATGAAATCGTGCAAGTGAAATTTGACCCACTTCTCAGTGTCCGATTGAGCTGGGCACAATATTTCGGTTCCCGATACAATGCTCTATTACCTAAATAATAAACGTTACAAAACGGCGATTTATCATTTCCATAATGACCCTTACGATATGAGCATCAAATGAAAGTGAAACATAATAAGCAAAGTGACAAGAAGAAAATAGACTACTTTCTATTAAATAAAACGCAGCAATTTATTATATGACTTTCTATTCAGCCCTTTTCATCGTCCCACTGCTGAGGGTGGACCTCCCTTCAATACGAGGGGGATCAGCCCATAGTCCACCACGCTGGCCAAATGCGAATTGGCGGACTTCACATGTCTTTTCGAAAACTTGTTAGCTTCTCTCAGACATGCAGGTATCCTCACAATGTTTTCTTTCACCGTAAGGCAAGTGATAAACGGGCTACCACTAACTTAATATGACTTTACCAGTATAAAATTAAAGAAATAAAAGCATCCAAGCCCAGGCTCAGGTAACAGTTTTATCAGTGATAAACTATCATAATAATAGATTAAAACCATTTGTCTGAAGATAAATCACCAAACATATACAAAATGTTTAACTGACCATGTGTTTACATATTTGCTTGCACCAGAGATGGGCCGAAAATGTGGCTTAAACCAAATACGAACCTCAGCCGGACATTCGGTGAGATTAAAAAATTTCGACTTTACTCAGAGGCAGGAAACATAAACGAACAAAAACGTAACAGGCTTCTGCCAGATAAGACAGTCTTTCGTATTTTTACACCATAACCTGGCTCTAGTTAATTTTTAATACTAGTAGATAGATAACAAGAGATTGTTAAATTTGATTGCTGAAAACACCTTTAATAATTTAGAAATACTTAATGTTTCTGAGTGTTTAGTTTGTGAACCAAAAACGTGTTTTTATTTGTTAATTTACGAATTGTAATTAAATGTTTGTTAGAAGAATACTAAGTTTATTTGATTTGGTCTATTTAATTAGCCAAAGATATTAAATACTTTTTTGTTTCCTGACGTTTCGAATGCTTTACAGCAATTAGGGTTTGGGAATTTCCGACAATGTCAAAGTCCCGGAACACGAGACAACCTACAATCAAAGTCCCGGGAATTCCCGGGATTTTAATTATAGATTTTTTTTGTAAAAACCAACATTTATTAAACAGAAACTTAAATTTTAATAACTTTAATGTTAATTTCAGTCTTAATAATTGCTTTGTTTATTTATTTTAATCACACACAGATTCACTTTTAAGCAGTTAAATCTTATAGTTATAAAACGAACTTAGTTAAAAATCATACTAATTCTTAATAACTTTACTATTATCTAGTAATTCTAGTATCTAATCATTGGTCATAATCACAACATTGTTAATTCTCATTTTTAGATTTGTTTCATAATTAAATAATCTAAATATAAATAATAAAACTTTGTGTACTCAGTAGTTACGTAGTAGACCAAGTAATTATTCATTAAACTAACAGATAACGCTACGCTAGGCTCCTTCCATTATTTGAAAATAAAAATGATTGCATAACAATTTTGATAATCTTGTCTCGTCTCTAGTCTCGACCTGAAAGTCCCGGGACTCGAGGCAACTAAAATTACGAAAAGTACAGGACCCAAACCCTAACAGCAATCATGGTCACGGGAGTCACTAAGGTTTTAGATATCTCAAAGGCGTTATGTTGTTACAGACAGCCTACCCACAAAATATTTTGTAATGACGAATTTTATTTAAAATAACAAATATTCACATAAATCTAAAAAAGTATTATTTTTAAGACTGTTAAACTAGGAAGAACTAATTTATTATAATTTTTTATTGAATACAAGTTAAGGTTTACATGTTCCTAACTAAAATAAATGACCGTGAGTATATAAAGGACTTAATTTTATTTTACTGTTATGAGAGACATGCTTTCTATTAATTGCAATCAAAATAGCGCAAGTAGGTTTTTTTTATGTGTCGTTTTCTTTTTTTTTTCGTGTGAATTTTGGCCGAATACTGAAGTTCGGCTCAAACTGCCTAAATTCGGTTAAACCGAATGTAAAACGACTTTTTGGCCCATCCCTAGTTTGTACCCATTGGTCTCTAGAATGATTAATCAAATTAAAATAATATTTTAACTGGCAAGCGGAATCGAGAGATATAAGCTAGCTATATTTTATTCTGGAAAATTATAATTATATTTAAATAAATATACAAATTACATATAAAATTACAGTAAATAAATATATTTATCATTATGACAAATTAATAATTATATTAGTATACTATATTAATAAAATATAAACATATTACCAGACTGCCAGCTTCCGAGATGAAATCTCCATTGCAGCTAGCAGCTTGGCTGCTCGCATGAGGCTTAGATACTCCAAGCTTTTGAGCTTCTTCTAATGCAAAATGAAGCTCTTGGTTTTTATTCTTTAACTTAGCAATTTCACATTTGTATTTACTTTCACTTTCACATATATGTCTCTGGTAGTCTTCAACAGAGGCTTGAAGTTGTGAAACTTCAAATGTTTTATCTGAAAGCTAACATATATATGTAATAGAATTAATTTTATTACAGGTACTTACTATTTTACTAAATAACTTAAAAATGAATGCAATAATAAAGCAAATTTTTAGTCCATATTATAAATTGTAATAAAAGGGACATGAACGAATTAGAGACTGGACCTGACATAAAATACAAATGTATGAAAACTAGTTCAACCAAGTGACGCATAGCGCACACAAAGATTTTATTACATTATTATAAACACTGATACACAATACAATATTTCTAGTGCTTGAATGTAATCGATAAAATACATATATCGATGAACCAATGAATGACATTTTAGACATTGGTTAGCATAGTCATCATATTTTACACCTTTTAATTTATTTCTCTTCTTTTAATTTTAATAAATTAAAATAAATGAATTAAAGAGGCAATAATAATGTGTCAAATAATAATAATTTTTTAATTTGATTTATATAAATACGATGGCATTGATGGCAACATTCTGTTGGCCTATAATAATGTTAATGAACAAATGAATATCGGGTATATATTCCATTAATATATAATAAATATTATTTTGTAAAGATTAAAAAAATATTAAGATAATTTAATTAAATAATGTGATTTTGTTGATTCTGTTATTGAACTATTTTAATTGGCAATTGATTGTCTCGGGTAGTTATAAAAATGTGACACTGTCCTAATATTGCTCAGTTATTAATAAACATTTGTGAAATTAGGAAAAAGAAAAAGAGATTGCAAATTAAAGTGAGTGTTGGATCGTGAAAGTAAAATAATTAGTGCAAGTGGTAAAGTGTTTTATTACAAATCGCCAACCCAGAAGTTTAGTGCTAAAACATTATTGTTTGATTTTGTGTAATTTATGTGTTGAAATAAAATGATCTTTATTATTATTACAATGGAATAATATTCCAAAGTATATAAATGTGGAATAAAATAAAATAAAAAATTAAGTACACATACTAATTATAATTTTTGCATTTATATTTTTATTTGATTTAGAAAATATTTTTATAAATTTATTGTCATCAGATTGTAGGATACTGTGGTAAAAGTATTTTATGTTATTGTACTGTACAAATAACACAATTCGTTTAGTAATTTCGTCAAATATCGATATATATTTCGACATTGTCAAGCACTAGTCGATGTCAAATGGACTCACTCGACAGTTTAGTCATTTGTTCTGAATGGTATAATCCAGGGATTTTATGATGGTTGTCAGATGTCAACAATACATAGAAATATCGACTATATTTAACATAGTTGGATAATATGACATTTTATTTTACATTTAATTAAATTGTGTGATAAATAACAATAAATGTAATAAAATAATGTATTTACAAGTGAAAAGAAATACTGCTGCTTCCGCCGTTATAGTTTTTACATCATTTAATAGAACATTTAGTCATTTTTGGGAGATGTTTTGTTGACAAATAAGTGCTTGAGACTGACGCAAAAAACAAACGACCAAGCCTAAAATCTCCTGGTTACTGAGAAGACCGATAAAGGTACGTCCGCTTATATGTCTAGTCCAGTGGTTAATTCGTTCATGAAAAGGGACTATACATATTTTGATATAAAAAATAAGGGACTTTTCTAGTATCACATCTTTAATGATTTTAAACATGTTTTATCTTTATAGTCTAAACTAATTTATGTCATATGTACATGATAATACTAAAATTATATAAAAATACACTTTTCTTATAGTGCACATTCAAAGACTTATATAAAAATTCTTAATAATTATGTTTTACCTGGGATGCATATTGAGCATTTTCTATTATTTTCTTCTGTAATTCTTCTTGCAATAGACCTGGGTCTAGTGATGGTGTATTACTGGTGGTAGCTTTTCTTTCATCAGTTTTACTTTTTGTTTTCTTAGTCAACTTATTCTATAAACAATAACCATTTTATAATAATTATAGTATTATTAGAGTGCCTTATAACAAAGAAATAGTAAATGCTAGATTAAATAACACTTTATAAACTCTCAAAAGCTCAGTTTAGCATCTGAAATAGTGAGTAGAATTTACCTTTATTTATTAAATTTACCTGCAAAGCATCAAGTTCATCTTGAAGGACGGAAACGCGCCGCGTCAACTGCTGATTTCTAAACGTTAAGGAGTCTATCTCTAATTCTCCTTTTCGTAGAGTCTTTTCTTTGTCTTTCAGCAATTCCCGCAATTCATTTGATTTTGCTTGTTCATCTAAGACCCCCTTCTTTAAAACTTTCACGTGAACCCTCAACTATAAACGGAAACAATAAATTTACTGCAATTGCCGATACCAGAACTTACATTATACAATAAAGCTATTAGACCTTAGAATATTCAGCTGCCAATTTTTGATATTTAGCCTGTATATCACCCGAAGGCAAATTCTCCATGACTAGATCTCAAGAGAACATAACTCTTACTTTAAACTAAAATTGTTTATTTATTGAATTTAGTACCGTAATGAACACCCACTTTAAGATGAAAATGACACATAGTTTTGACATTTAACTGACATTACAAAAGTCTAATACTTGTACGAGAATATTCGTCTTTTTTAGACTTAGTGTTTTCATTTTTGTGGATAAAGAACACTTTTAGCTATACTAAGCAAGATTAAATAGATAAAATTGATAAGCAAAATAAGGATAACAAAGGTGGATTATATGATGTTTTACACTATTTTCATATAGTATGCTCATTTGCAAAAAAATTTTTATATTTAATACATAAGTTAAGAAATGTTAACTTATGTATATTGTGTTAAATTGAGTATATCTCAATAATAGTATAATAGCAGTAAAAAATTAGGAAATCATAGCACTTTATTATTTATCAGCAAATGGCATCCTTCGTAAATCGTAATTAAAATTTTGCTAGCAACACCGTCTCTGTTGATGTGTCGTGATTGTCTGAATTAAAATATCAATATTTTGGAATTTATGAGAGAAAAACTATATTTACTAAGTTATATTCCGTACTTATATACCACTTAACTTATATTTTAAATTTATGTTAAAGGCATGGACGACAGGTAAGGTTCTGACTCACAATTCGACATTGTATCGCAACAGGTAAAAACTAAGTCAGAACAAAGTAAATTATGATGAAACTATATGCATAATCCACAGGAACATGGAAACGAGCAGCTCTGCATATACTGACGTCTCAAGCGACCATTCCAAGAGTATTATACACATAGACGTTGATTGTTTTTACGCTCAAGTAGAGATGGTGCGGAAACCAGAACTACGATCCCTTCCACTTGGAATCCAACAGAAAAACATTGTTGTGACCAGTAATTATGAAGCTAGAAAGTACGGTATACGAAAATGCATGCTTGTTTCAGACGCGCAAAAAATTTGTCCAAACTTAAAATTAGTAAATGGCGAAGACTTACACGACTACAGAGCGGCCTCAAACAAAATATTTATTCTTCTTCAAAGTTGGAAATGTCCGGTTGAAAAGTTAGGTATGGATGAAAACTTTATTGATGTCACAAATTTAGTACAAGAAAAATTAAAAAATATGAAAGGGACAAGCATCACACTATCTGGTAATATATATTGTGAACCAAATGTTGAGTGTCATTGTGGATGTCACTCTAGATTAAAAGTAGCATCACAAATAGCAAGTGAAATGAGAAATAAAATATATGATGAGTTAGGTTTTACAACATGCGCTGGAATAGCACATAATAAACTTTTAGCTAAACTTATTTGCCCCTTAAATAAGCCCAACGACCAAACAACTATTTTCCCAGAGCATGGAGCCAATTTTATGGCAACCTTACAAAGTGTTCGATATATACCAAGTATTGGGTCCAAGACAACAGAAGCTCTCATTTCTCAGAAAATAATTACTGTAAGTGATTTGCAAGAAGCATCAGTGGAAGTCTTAAAAAAATATTTTAGTGGTGATATGGCTGTTAGATTGAAAAGTTTAAGTGCAGGAGAGGACAATACTCCAGTGAAGCAAACGGGACGGCCGCAGAGTATAGGATTAGAGGACAGTTTTAAAACAGTCAGTGTAAAAAGTGAAGTTGAAGAGAAGTTTACAGCACTATTGCAGCGATTGCTTATACTAGTGAGAGAAGATGGACGCATTCCAGTTTCACTCAGAGTAACATTAAGAAAAAAAGATGTAAAAAGGTTGAGCAGCCATAGAGAGTCCAGGCAGTGTCAAGTGTCACCTTCTATATTTACAATAAATAATGGTACATTGACAGTGACCGAGGCAGGGCAGCAAAAACTTATGACCATAATAATGAGGTTATTTAACAAACTGATTGACCTGTCAAAACCATTCCATTTAACTTTAGTGGGTCTGGCATTCACAAAGTTCCAAGAGCGCATGACAGGCAGAAGTTCAATTGTTAACTACTTGATGAATGATATTTCTGTTCAGTCAGTTCTCAACATCCAAAATGATTGTGATACATCAGCATCTTCAATGGATTATTCCGCAGCGTCTCCGAGCAGTAGCACAACAACTGATTTGTCTGATGCTGAAGTAGAGCCTTCACCCAAAAAGCCTAAAAAAGTTAATTGGATAGCTAAAAGGAGATGTTTGTCTAAAGAGGAGGTTGCGTCACCCAGCAAACTGAAAGTAGGAGAACTTAGATTAAATTCAAAGGAACTGGAAAAAGTATCGGAATTAAGACTGAGCTCTAGAGACAGGTCACTTACACCGCGAGCAAGCCCAGCTAAAGACAATCTATCAGACACCTCTGACACTATGAGGGATAGTGCAGAAACTGGCAACTGTGATGACTGTCCAAGTTATGTCGATAAGGAAGTTTTTAATTCCCTTCCTGAAGAGATGCAACAGGAATTAAAGGCCATGTGGAAAAATCCCTCCAGCTCAGATGTCCCCAGAAGTAGCCCCAGAAACTTGAACAAAGCAAAACCGAACTCAATTTTGAAATATTTTGTTCCACACAAATAGTATTAGTAAGATTTTATCTTGTTAATTTAAGTGATAAGTGAATGGTTTCTATTTTTTCAAATCATACAATTTTTATTCAACTGATCAAATACATGTTTATGTTATACAAACATCTTTCATTTATACCTTATAATAGGGTAATAATTTAAAAGCAAAGCATATAACTGGGCATATCATTTAATATCTATATTCTTTACAGCTTCTGTAACCATAGAGGATAACTCTGTTAACTTGTGCACACTGTTCAGATTGACCAATAGACTCTGTGCTACTTTAGCATACGCAACAACATCCACATTCAGTTGTAATCTAATCTTGTCTCCGTCTGTGATGCCAGTGCTCTCACTGCTCTGCTGGGAAGACGAGTCACGAATTTGCTTTAGCCTCCTTAGGGACTCTTCAGTTTTCTGTACTGATACCAATACATCTTCAACATACTTATAATATCTGGAAAGAGTATTGGAATTGCATATTACAGTTATGTTATAATGTTTTTATTTTAATCCTAGCAAAAACCATATAAATATTTTGATACTTACGAAACAGTCATAACATTGAATAATGAATTATAAATATCAACCAAAAACAAGCTGTCTAATTTTTTTATAGCATTTTCATTGAATTCCATTATAGTTCTAGTGATAACATCTATGTAAGTACAAGGTTTGGTGGGTATACTGCGGTTTGTCTTTCTATATAACCTTGGTATATCACTGACTTGCTTCAGCTGCACATTGAAATATTCAAATAATTCATTGACAATACTTTCACATATTTTGTTTTTTGTGCCTTTTAGCAATTCCTCTGTGGGTTTCAAACTTTCCCTTAGAATCTCTTTGCTTTTGCTATCATGTAACTTGCTTTCAATATTTTCTAATAATTTTGGCAATCGTTCAATTAGAGTTGAACTATCCACATATAGACTTATACTATTTTCAATCAGGTTTCTGTCAACACCATGTAATTCTGCTTTTGTAATGCAAGCCTAGAAGATTAATAAGGGAATTTAAAATAACATAAAGTTAACTATTTCTTTGAAATTAAATTTATTGTAATAGGTTGCACATACGAGTATACTAAGCTTACTTGTGAACAAATATTTGTGATCCACGTAGCATATCTTGATAGTAATTGAAGTGACAACTTCCAGAACTTGTGAGCCAAAGCTTCAATATAAATACCATCTGACCAGCAGTCGTGAAGAGCATTCCAACATTTAAATGTTTCAAGCAAAATAAAACCATCATTGTTTTGCAATGTAGGACTTTTCTTGAGAGATGCTTCAAATCCACCTAATAATATTAATTTTTTATTATAAAAAAATCTTGTTAGATTAATATTCATTTACATAGTATAAAATAGAACAAATGTTTGTTTTTATTATATAATTTACAATATTTATAATAAGCAATAGGTTCCATCCAAAAATTAAGAGTATTTTAAAAATTGATATAATATACCTGCAATTTCTTGAAATCTTATCTGGAAATAAACAGGCAAATTCCACCTTCTTAAGAAACTTTTATACTCAGATGTTTCATGAAGCATTTTTATTGTCTCCTCACCAGAACAAAACTGTTCTAACTTTTTAATGAAATTTATACTTTCACTGTATCTTGTATAAAACAGTTGTGGGTTACCAGGTGCAAAAATGGAAGCTAAATTAACCTCTAAACGGTTTTCTACCTCGCACCAAAAACAGTTCACTAAAAATCTATATCTTTTTGAAAGAAATGTCAATTTGGAATGTTGAGTAGCTTCAAGGAGCAATTTCAGTTTATTATTTAATAATGACAAAATATTGTTATATACACCTTTGAGGCCATCTTTACTTCTTTGTAAGACAGGTTCATTTATAATATCCTGAAGCAAAGGTGCCACTGCTTGTTTTCTTATAAGCATTTCAGTTTCAGCTACCCTATCTAAAGTAGTTAAAGCTAATAAGGTCTTTATTAAGTGTTCTGCATTCTTATCATTCCAAAATTGAAACAGCAGTTCATTAAGAGTTTGAACTAGTTTTCCTCCTATATCATTGTATTTTTTCTTTTGTTCTTGTTTAATGAGACTGTCACACATAGATATAGAAAATTTCAATTGGTTGTATTGCATTGCAGCTCTGTCTGCAATAATAATTTGCTCTTGTTTCTTCTTGTCCGAAATATCACTCAAAATGTTTTCTAAAGTTGTTAGGCAGTTCACGGTTTGGCTGTAATATTTTAATATTTTTTTCTTTTTTGTCAAGGCATGACGCTGGCTTAGCCACAATGACAATTCTTTCATAGCATCCTCTAAGCACTGTTTTACGCTCTATAATTAAATTTTATATTAATTAAAATATCTATATATATAATTCTAATAATACAAAAGGAAATAAATATATATTTTACTTACTAAAACTTCATCATTTAATTGGCCTAATGGCAGTTGAATTTTTACAATGGCTTTATCAAATCCAATTAATGTAGCACATAGGTTAACAAAATTTGCATAGTCCTTATTGATTAATTCTATCATTGCTAATCTAAGGACTTTTAAATAGATACCTAGGTCATCTCGCATTGTTTCTAAAGAGGCAACATTTTGATGGTCTGCGAGAAAATTATCCACCGAAAAGTTAGTCTGTAATTTTAAAATAGTAAACATCATATAATTAGGTAGAAAATATTAATTTAGTGATATGAATTACAAAAAAAAACTATAAATACCTTGACGAAATCATTACGATCAAAACACAAGCCCCTGGGAGCTGGTGGTAGTGTGAAGTCCATACGATGATTATTCATGATAATAAATATTGCATTTAAGGCACCATAATTAGGAGGAATGATTTAAAAAACATTTATTTATTGAAATCGCCCGTAAGCTCTGCATTCATTTTGACATTTACTGACGTCATCTTGACACATTACACGTTAGGTACCGTTCGGATACCGATAAGCAATGACACCTATAGATGGCAGTTTTAAAAGAGGAATTTAATGGTAATGTAACCAATCGTCAATAGTTACAATTTTAAAATATCCTTTACATGTACATGTAAGGTTTTATCCTTACAATACATTTATCTTTTTAAACTCCTTCTTAATGGGGCGTCGCAGGATAATTTAGGCATTCAATCACGAATCACGACGTTCCGACGACAGTTCTGTCGAAGCAGGTCACAATAACCAAGACGTTGCTCCCACCGTCCACTCATCTGAGAAGTACAAGGAGGAACCCGCATGGTACACCACCCACCCACCGAAGTGGACCACCTCCCAGTGTGCCCACACTGCACACATTGGGGTGGACACTACGTGACACTGGCAGATTGTCTAGCAATTCTAAGTTTTTACGAAAAAAAACAATTAAGATTTTTTTTAAGTTAAATTTCATATTCTATAAATGTATAGCATAAGTTGTATATTTATTTATTTTAATTGTTATCCTGGAAGTAAAGAAAGATGACTAAATTTTTTTTCACTAATTTGTACTTTTTATTGAAGAAACAATTACTAGTTACAAATTGTACTAAACTGTACCTATTTACACAAACAACCCTAATCAACTATTTAGAAAATCAAAAGGAAATTATCTTCCAATAACACATAAACGACAACAATTAGGGTATTACTTATATTATGCTAATTACGTAACTGTGATAGGTACATTAACTTCAGCATTATATATCGCTAACGTACAATCTGTAGCGTGTGCGGAAAAACGAACAGTTGAATTTTGTCTAGGCCCACAGGTCTCACAAGTCTTTATACTTTAAAAAAACACCATTTAATTTTCATTACTATGTCAACTTTAAAATCAGAAGACTTGTATTTGAACAGGGCCAAACTTGTTATGAAATATTTAGGAGTTTGGGTGCCTGCAGCGAATGAAACGATTACACTTAAATCTTACAGGCTATTTATGATATTCTTACAGTATTTATTCCTACTCTTCCAAATTATTTATATATTCCAAGTTTGGGGAGATTTGGAAGCCGTCTCGCAGGCTTCATATTTGTTATTCACTCAAGCCTGCTTATGTTTCAAAATTACAGTTCTACAAATAAATGTGGATTTGCTTAAAGATTTGCTGAACAGGATGAACAGCGAAATATTTCTACCACAGTCAAGGGAACAAGAAAGGTGGGTTAATAATAAAATCAGAAGGAAAAGTATTAAAAGGTTTTACAGTTAACTGCCTTAGCCTTCTTAGTTGATTTTTTTAGTTCTATTTCAGTTTTTAGTTTCTCTTCTATCCTAAGGTTGCCCGGAAGAAATTGCTGACTTAACGATAAGGCCGCATGTTGTGCCATTTTGTTGTTAACGCCTATGCTAGCCTAGCATATACATTGTATAGCTATAGATTTAAATGTCGAGTCTTGGGTCAGGAAGTTTGTGGTGTTTCTTTGTAGAGTACGTAAAACCGTCGAACCTGCGCCTGATTTCTCACCGAGCCATTGGTCAGACTTGTGCATAATATCTTCTAAGCACATAGCTAGTCTCAATGGACTCGACCGGCGTGACGTGGCCGGAATCGGCTATTAGGATTATTATATATCTTCGGATTATTGTATATCTTCGGATTTCTTAGTGAAATCGTTTAAAATGCGTGGGAACATAGGTTCAACATGTAGAGGTAGGGGAAGAGATTGAAATATTTAATGTGACTTGGAATTGCCCAATTTTGGATTATCGCTGGATAATGCGCTTACCGAAACGCGCGCTGAAACTACCGAAGGTCCCAATAAGTGGTTTGGCGTAGTGCGCGGCGGGTGCAATATCGGCGTAGTCGGCTAAGGGTGTCAAGAGGTATCACCATTGCAAATGTACTCGTGACTTTTCCCCGCTATTATGCAGAATGAAAACTTCCACCCTGTCGAGCACTTGTCTCTTGCGCTGCATTCCACGCGCGCTGGACGGCCAATGAAGACAAGCCAGAGGCGGGGGACAGATGTTTTTACCCTCTGGAAATCTCAGCTCTTTATACTTTATATGTTCTGTGACTGGATTATGGTGTATAATAAAAAGTACTTTACTTTAAAAAATAATTATAAATCATATTTGTAGGATTCTAAAACGGCAAGCAAAACGTATTAAACAATTGTTGTTGGCATTCATGATAAGTTCACAAACGACTTGTTTGCTGTGGGCGCTGAAGCCATTGTTTGATGACGCAGGTTCTCGCAACTTCCCATTCGATATGTGGTAAGTTTTGTATGGCAACTTAAATTGTTTTTAAAATTTACGTTACTTATAGCAGCTAAGCAGTGGCGTAAGTAGCCTTTTTGGGTCCTTTTTATGTAAAAAATGGACACGCTCCCTTTTGCCTATTTTCAAAACGAATGTGGTCCACAGACAGAGACGGTTTCCAAACTTGTCACTTTTTTCAAAACGCTCTCACGGAAGAAGGGATAGAGTAAAATTTAGTAAATGAGCTTAGAGGACCATTCATTGGTTTATAGAGCATAGGTACTATCATATTCCTCGTGGACTGTGGTCCTCGTACAAAATAATATATGGAAAAGGGCACTTTTTCCTTGTGATTTTTTAAACTTCTATGAGGGTCAATAATTCTCGAAAAAGGTATTGAATTAAAAGAATCGTTTGTGGCCCGCTGGGGCTCCCTTAAACCAGGGGCCCTATGCTACCGCATTGATTTCATTGGCATAGCTACGCCACTGCAGCTAAGTATACGTAGGTAGAGTGTTTGTTTATTTGAATACCAATTCCAAAAAACACAAATTTGGTCCTTTGAGGCGTATACGAGCTGTGTTATACATTTATATATTACACATTGTTTAATATAATTTCTCTTTTCACTAAGGATGCCGGTACGGCCTGAGTTTTCTCCGCAATACGAGTTGGGCTTCGCGTTTCAGCTACTGACTATTTGCACAAGCGCTTATATGTACTTCGGAGCGGACAGTATCGCCTTGTCTATGGTGATCTTCGCCTGCGCGCAGCTGAATATAATAAAGGATAAGATTTTGAATGTAAAATCAAATAAATAAATTTCATATATTTACGTACAATACGACACGCTATCATTAATATTTTTATGTAATTTATCTTCTTATAATATTATGTACTAATTATCATTAATCAATCATAGCTAACGCGCGGCGGCACATCACGATCCCGAGTTGTGTTCAAAGATTCATTAGTTTTTTTTAAGAAATCTTAGTATTTATTTACCCCCATGAGTTACAAAAAACGTAATTTGTTAGCTAATTATAGTCTTGTTTAGTCGCCTGAAACATAAATAACCTGAATTTAAAATATAGCTTTGTGTCAAAATTCTATAATCTAATATGATTTTATGTTTCAGATAAGTTTTGTTCATGTTCAAGGCCGAAGTGATATTGAAAAGACTATAATTGTATCCGAAAACAATAAAAAATTGATAGACTGTATAAAGCAACATCAAGCTATCGTGTCGTAAGTGCTTACCCTGTTTACAAGGATGGTATGCTACTGCCTGCCACTGGTCATTTTTTTTCCTGACAAAAAAAAGGGTTTTTCCGGTTCTATACCCGTCATTTAACAATAAATCCCTCCAAATAAACGAACAAACAGGCATATATTTAAAACGTAAAGATTTGTTCCATAGCTTTTCTCGTCATAAGTTGTGCACGTTGGTGTAAATAGAGTAGACACCTACCCAGTCCAATGATAATTAATTACCTTAAGGCTAATGCAAAAAGTTCCGTTGATCCATTGCTAAAGAAAAAATATACCTATTTCACATTTATAATATTAGCAGGATTATTTAATCATTGTTATTATTAAAGATATTCGTTTTCTCGAAGTTAAACATAATACAACAGTTAAAATATGTTACAGATTCACAGAACTTGTAGAGAATGCGTATCACACATTTTTATTATTCCAACTTGTGGGCAGCGTCGGACTCATTTGTATGTCCGCTTTGCGAATATTGGTGGTAAGAGATTACTCACACCAATATATTATTACAATACTAATATAAATATCTTCCTTATATTAGGTATTTCCTGTCGCAGGTGGACTGGCGCAGTATGCAATTCTTTTCAATCCTTACTTATTTATCTGTGATGATCAGCCAGCTGTTCGTATGCTGCTGGTGCGGCCACGAGCTCACGGCCACGGTCAGTAGCCATAGTTATACCTAACTTTCTGTTATGTTGTAATTTTATTTCAAGTGCAGGCCAGATATTAATACGTATATTATTTTTATAATTTATTTCTCTAATTTAAACATATCATATCGTATGTCTTCTCTCAGTGAGTGTTGTTACTTTTTTACTTCAACTTTTAAATATAAAGTAAAAATCTAACTCTCATCTCAGAGCGAAGAGCTCCCCACGGTGTTATACAAGTGTCCGTGGTACGAGCAGGACCTCCAGTTCATGCGCACGTTGCGCGTCGCGGCGATGCGCATGGGCCGGCCCACGGTGCTGCGCGCCGGACACTACATCAGCTTGTCCAGGCCCACGTTTGTGGCGGTGAGTCTTATACATGTTCAATCACTATAATTTAACGCTTACTGCATAAGTGATTTAATTTCAAGAAATTATACTGAATTTTTAATTTTATTGTATTTTTTTCCAGATTCTTCGCATGTCATACTCATATTTCGCGGTCCTCAATCAAACAAAATAAGATATTAAACACTTCTGCACGCAGTGACTCTAGCTTGTACTTAAATAAATACACATTAATACAAACATATACTCAAAGGCACATCTCCTGTTACACCCATCTATTAAATTTCCATTTTAACTTAGTATAATTTGCACCTTGCTATAAGTTTGTAAACAAAATCAATTAAAGTTCTCACTTCAGCTAATTGTTAACAGTTTATGTTACTGTAACATATACAGTGTTTTTAAAAATGCAGAATATTTAAGATATATATAAGAAATGCCTAGATTAGTCGGGGCCATTCAAGTATTACGTAAGCAGAATTTTAGTAATTATTAACCCCTCTCTCCCCCTCGTCAACAAAAGTAAGCAAAGCTCTTATTCCCCCCTCCTATGCTTACGTCAACATTACGACTCAATTATTTTGGGGAATCCCTGAAATTGCTTTTCGGTTTTATACAAGACATTTCTCATAGACTAGTAGGGTTGTCATGTGTTCTGAAAACATTGATTTAATTAATCAAAATTTACTAAATATTAATTATTTAAAAAAAAATTACTGACGTAATCAACATCCAGATGCCCCCGTCATGTAATCAAAAATAACGAAAAAAGTTACGAAAGACATTATTTTATTCCAAAGGTTTATAACAGTACCTATAACTTACAAATACATATACCTCTATGACATACTGCAAGAAACAGTAACAAAAACTTTGGAAGATTTGAAAAGCACGTAATATAAAAAGGGTAAGTACCTTCATGTGAAATTGTTTTATGATGGCAATAAAAATATTTTTCGTAAATAAACAGCCTGTACACACTAAAAGCCAATAGCCATGCGTTTTATCAAATATCACATATAAATATCGCGTGGAGGCTCCGCGGTGACATTTAAATTACTATTTGAAAATGAAAAGCAACATTGAAATATTTCTTAGCAGGCCTATGTGGGTTCTCACAATCTTATCGATATGGCTGCGATTAGAAAAGCCAGTTTTTCTTTACTACACGACCCAAGCTGTAGTTTTATTTACACAATATTCATTTTTGATATTCGAGTTCATGTACATAGTTTTTGTATGGGGAGATATAGACGAGGTCTCAGAGGCTTCTTACTTATTTTTTACGCAGGCTTCAGTCTGCTATAAAGTTGCAGTATTTATCCTTCACAAGAAGAACTTAAAAAGTCTGCTTGAGTACATGATGGTGGACATCTTCGTCCCTCAGTCTGCAGTCCATAGCGAGTGTGTTAAACAATTAGTTATTAATTATTATTACATAAAAATCTTTCGTAATCTTTTCAGAAGTTCTTTTATTTTCATGTATGTGATGTTTTTATAGGATACTAATAACACGTGCTCGCAAAGTGAAAAGGTTATGTGCAGTTTTTTTAGTAAGTGCATTTATGACATGCTCTTTATGGGCCAGCATGCCGTGGTTTGATGAAGCGGAAACGAGGTCCTTCCCTTTCAAGATTTGGTAAAGTATTATTTTAAAACTAATCGACTCGCTCTCCATTCGCTCTGGCTAACTGCGATCCGCTCAACTTCTCCAATCTCCAGCCTAGCTATAGTATAAACACGATAGTCTAGCTTCTATCGTTTTGATCAATCGCAAGTCAAAGCGTCACTGGGTAACAGACAGATAACTCAAAATACATTTATAATTTTTTATCAACTTCAATAAAGCACCTACTCCCTTCGTCTGGTCTTTTTGTGGGTATACATATATTTTACACGATACATTCGCCAAATATCAGAATTCTTTTTTAAATGAATAGATTTAAGGTCAAATACCTTTCATAAAATATTTAAAATATAAATTTGAAAAATCTTTTCACCCTAAGGGCGAAATAATTATTTTGAGGTGATTTTGTTGTTCACTTACTGGTTTTAGTAGTAAAGAGTAATTGTAGGTTTGTATAATTGAACGGGTCTACGTCCTACTAAAAAAATTGAATTAACGAATACGGAAAGAATTAAAAAGCTATCATATCTTTATATATTTTAATTTATATTGCAGTTTAAATTTAATATTTGAATGTATAAAGTGCCAAAACTACTGATACGATTCTGAAGCTTCTCCACACTACCCGTCGCGTCCCACCATTACTGTTTATCAGACTTAATAGACAGTAGTTCTAATGAGATATTAGTATTTTACAAATAACAACTGAAAGGTGAGCAACATGCGTTTAAGGCGTGAGCGAAACGAGGACGGAGAGTTACTCATAGAGTTGTAACCTATTACTTCTTTTTTAATTTTAAGATAACAAATAACGTGTCGTATTTTTTTTTGTTTTCTTTTCTTAAGTATTATACTTAAACAACTACATATAATCCCTAATGATAATATGTATGTTTCTGCCTACTCGTAGGATGCCCGTGTCTACGCATACCTTTACGCAGTATATATTAGGGTACTTATACCAGATAGTGAGCGTCTACATCAGCGCCCTGCTGTTCTTCGCGGTGGACAGCACCACGCTCTCCATGATCATATTTGGATGTGCCCAGTTGGAAATCGTTATTGATAAGATAAAGAAGGTGCTTGAATTAAGTGTATCTACTCACGTCGTAGTATTTTATTCATTAATTGGATGTACGAATAAAATGTAATATGTTTAAGGTTCTTCAATTGTGACAATGAATTTTTATTAAGATTCATTTTATGATTATACTAGCGACTCACGTGAAAAACAGAAACAAATCTATCCCACGGGAACCGTACATTTTTACGTGATAAAAAGTAACCTATGTGCTATTTCAGATTCTCAGCCGTTCTTACGTGATTGAGTAACTAACATTCATCCAAACTTTCGCATTTATAATTGCTATAGCAATACATGTATTGCTACAGCAAAATAAAATCTAGAATTCTGTAGGTACATCCGGGGTTAAAATAGATGCCTCATCATGGGAAACATCACTCTTGTTTTTGTTTGCCTCTCATAGTATATTCTCCTCCACCCTCACCGCATCTCGCGTGAGATCATAAAAAAAATATATTATAAAGAGATACGAATATATATTTTTTAATATTTTAAAAATACATTTAGTTACTTGATATAAATGTTTAATGTTTTTAAAATTAGTACTCATCTTAACTTCATTTATGACACGTCTAAGAGCCACAGAAGTCAGAACAAAGAATAGAGTTGAATTGCAACTTCGTTATGGTAGTCGTTACCATAGTGGGTAGACTAGGTACCACGTAGTGGGTAGAGTCTGCACTCTACCTAAAAGTCTACAAGACACGAGTACCTCCTACATTGTAGGTGTAATATTTGTTTTAGGTGAAAAATGTACCAATGTCCGCCAAATTAAATAAAACAGCAAAAGAGCAGTTGGTCAAAGACAGTAATGAATTATTTATTCAGTGTATTCATCAACATCAAGAAGTTATAAGGTAATTTATATTATTGTATAATAATTTTGTTCAGTGGTTAGGATTGAAATTAAATGAAAATTTTTAAATCAAATATACATATTATAATAAAAAAGCAGATAATAAAATATTTAAAAAAACAATTACTGTTAGTTGTTACGTATTGAATAGAAAATAGTACCCTAAACAATACTTATTGATTTTTTTGTGTGTTTTACGTATGTCTGTGCGTTTCAGCAAAAAGTACTGAACGCGTTTTAACTAAATTTTGTGTAGTGATTACTTATTACTCGGTTCAACATTTAGGATTCTTTTTACTACAGGAAAATGTCTCATTTCCACGGGAAAACACAATAACTGCAACTTTCGGGTCGTCTTGAAAATTTACAGGGTTAAACCTTAAGGGATACACTAAATAATGTATCTATTAGAAAATTGTAGTTCTTAAAAAGGCCTACAGAAAAGTCCGCAATAGCATTTGTCTATATTTTGAGTTACTCTAGCAATTACTAGGTACTAGGTGTAGTTTTCCTCCCTACGTGCGTTCACCTTGCCGTGTTTGGGGCTCATTAGCGTCCGGCAGTTAAGCCGGGCGCGAAGCCAAGAAACGAACAGGGAGGTGGCCCACTCCGGTGGGCGGTGGGAGGTGTCCCACTTCGGTCTGCGGTGTGCCACGCGGGTTGCTCCTGGTACTTTTCTGATAGCAGAGTGGACTATGGAGAACCCTATGGTTGTTGTGGTCTGCTTCGGCAGACCTGCCGTCGGGGCGTCGTTGTTGAGTGCGTAAGCGATCCTGCGACTCCGCAATAAGACGAGGGAGGTTTTCTTGGGTTTGAGTGGGTAGTACTGGCTAGCTAAGCTTAGCTTAGCTCCACTACTTTCCTAGCCGGTAAGTCCCACATAACCACAGGTGGTATGCGTAAATGCATTTCCCAACATTAAAAAAGATGGTACTAGGTATTGTTGTCTATTCAAAATCTCAAAAAAAGTAATTTTCAATATTACATGTACCTATTATTTTGTTTAAATTAATGTGTTGTTAAAATTCTTTCAGATTTGTAGAACTTCTGGAAAACACATATCACGCGAACATATTTTTCCAGCTGAGTGGCACCGTCGGCATCATCTGCATCATTGGACTGCGGATTACAATTGTACCTAATTACTCACTTAGCTGGTCTTAGTAAACCTTTGCATAATTTATTTATTTATTTTACATCCAATTAGAACGGCGGCGCCACTTACACTAACTAAACATTCAGGGAAAAATAAACATTATTTTATCTTAAAATATTCAAATTTTAAGTGAAAAACGTTAAATTAGCGGTATTAAGTTTATAAGAATATCCAGTCTAAAAAGATATTTATATTATAAAGTTGACATAATTATTAATTATAATTTACATAATAAAAAAACATGGTCTACAATTCTGCATGGCACTTTTGCACTTGAATATCTTAGTGAAGCGGGTTCTAATCTTTGGTAGTGTGGTGGACTATGGCATCATATGGCATGTCCCTAGCATTGAGCCGAGGCCCGTGCTCAGCAGTGGGCCGTTCAAGATTGAATTAATTAGTGGTATTGGGGATAATTAGCCTTAAACTAGATTTATAGTTAATACCTACAGATCTACATCAAGTCAATATAAATGTCATATAAACAGACGGAACCGAGCAGCGTGCAGTTCTACTCGATGCTGAACTACATGGTGACGATGCTGTCCCAGCTGCTGCTCTACTGCTGGTGCGGCACCGAGCTCACTACTAAAGTATACTCAACTGTTGTTCTTTCATGCACTACTTAAGGCCGGTTTAGACTGAAACACTTTATACAGTACACTCAGTGTACCTATATGTCGCAGGAGTTGTAAGGTCCCTTATAATTTCATAAGAGAAATTCTTATTACCCGGAGTATTGTCAATCCTCTCCTTTTCTTACAATATCTTTAGGTATATTATATTATAATTTTCCTAAACACATTCAGTGAAATTGTAATTCATCATATTCAGCCTGCTTTCGTCCACTGCTGACATAGGCCTCTCCTATGGCACGCCACTGAGCACGATCTTCAGCTCTACGCATCCAACCGCTGCCAGCCAATTTACGTATATCGTCGCTCCACCTAGGTGGAGGGCATCCTATACTACGTTTGCCGAGCCGTGGTCTCCACTTCAGAACTCGTCTTTTCCATCGGTTAACGGTTCTGCGACAAATGTGATCAGCCCACTGCCATTTCAGCTAGCTAATTCTTTGGGCTATGTCGATAACTATGGTTTTCTGTCGGATCTCTTCATTTTAGATCCGATCCTTCAGAGAAACTTTGAGCATAGCCCTCTCCATAGCACGCTGAGCGACCTTAAACTGGAGAACCAATCGTACCATCAATGTCCACGTCTGCTCCGTACGCCATAACAGGTAGGACATACTTGTTAAAGACCTTTGTCTTCAAGCTTTTCGGTATTGGCGACGAAAAAACCCGACGAAGTTTACCTTTGTTATGTACGAAGTTTGCCGTTTCGACCTATTAGGTAATTACCCTAGTTAAATTGTCAATAGTAGCAATACCAGGATGTGGCGCGAAGCCTCGGTTCGTTTTGCTTGGTCGATTCACTGCAGTCAGTGAATGGACCAATCAAAACGTTTTTAAAACCAAAAAAGTAATTTCCATGTAGAGCTTAGTAAGCTTCCGTAGTCATGGATGTTTATATTTATAGTATATATTTATTTAAAGTTATATATTTTGAGTAGTGTATCAACTATCTGGTATCCATAACACAAGCCTCGTAGCTTACCATGAAACTAGATGGTTATTGGTTCTGTGTATTATTTATTTATTTATGTACCAGAAAAAAAAACATAAAATTGAAAACCGATACCATGTGTACAAAGGATGACTTATCTCTTTAAGAGATCTCTACCAGAAACCCTCAAGCGTGAGGAAATATAAAAATAATAATGAGGTGCGGTGTAGGTACAAACTACAAACATCAATTACAATATAAATAAGTATACACATATGTATACAAACATACGTACATACATATTACATACACATACCTACTTTAAGAAATATAAATAAGGAAATCATGTGGAGTGACTTAGATAAAGTTCTTTTAAGCGAGATTTAAACAGTTTTAGCGATGGATTGTCATTAATAATTTTATCGAGAAGGAAGTTCCAGATTTTGCTGCTTGTACTGTAGGATTTCTCATAAAAAGTAGTGTTGTAAGAAGCTATGTTAAGCTTTTTTAGCCTAACACAGGGGCGTACGGGTCTTGAGCTGGGGATCGATAGCTGAAAACGCTCGCGTAAGTACGTAGCAGAAGAAATACTTAAAATAGTGTATAACGCCGTAAGTATACGCAAATTCCGGCGAAGGCGAATATGGTGCCGTACTTCACTTTAATGATGTCCCAACAATTTCTTACGATATAAATAGTGAAATTATAATTTCATGGTTTTTACAATTTCCCTGCGACATTTACACTGAGTGTACCGTGTATAATGTCTTAGTCTAAACCGGTTACACGTGTACAATATCGCTCTATGGGGGTCATACCTAATAGTTTTATTGGTACCGTATGTAATTATAGTGTATTGGAAATTGGTATACGTACCTACTAAGTACACAACTGTTACATGAGGTACCTAAGTATAAAGTACCTATAGATTGAAAGCCACTGCCTAATTTACAAAATGTTCTCATTTATTCTGCTTTGTCTACAATCCGTTGAATAATCTTCCTTTGCACATCTGCTTACCGGACGACAAACCTACTTATATAATGAACCTAAAAAGTGGTTTCCTTTGTTTTTTTTAAACTCGTTGATGTCTTCCATAGATCAAAATCGGTAAAAGGTGGCCGCCACTTTAGTATCGATTAATAATTAGTACTTCGTGAACTAAACTTATGCAAAAGTTTAACAATGAAAGTTATTTTTAAGTAGATATTTTTAATTAAAAAATTGCAATAATTACATCCTCCTAAAAATAGTTATTCCATCCTTAGTGGTGGATACTTTTTTTTATTTCAACGGAATCACCTTCATTTATATCGTACCAGGCAATGAAGGGACATTACGTTTTTGAATTCGGGTAGAACTTATATAAATATATCGTAATATCGCATTTGAACTAACGTTAAGGTTATAAAATACATTTTTTACGGACATTTTAGAGATTTACCAGTTTTAAGATACAAAATAAAATACAAAAAGTAATAAATTTCAGAGCGAAGATTTACGGCAGTGGATTTATCAATGTCCCTGGTACGAACAAGACTTCAAATTCAGAAGGTCCCTCGTCATCGCGATGGAGTGTATGAAAAAGCCCATTATTTTCAAAGCCGGCCATTACATTCCACTTTCGCGGCCTACATTCGTATCAGTGAGTATTTTACTTTAATGTCCTCTATAAAATATGTCAAAAGATACATAACTGTAAATATCATTAAAATAAGTTATTTTATCAATATATGTATATACCTAGCAGGTAGGTACTTATGCACTCAAGAAACACTTGCTATCTACTAAATTATTTTTGTAAGTAGTAACCTATCTATTTTAATGTTTGTACCTACTAAGACGAACTTAATCTGCTTTTTTAGTAACAATATCTTCTATACATAGAAAAACTATTATTGGTGGTCTTCATTAACGCAATATAAACAATGATTTTTTAGAATTTTTATCTGTTTGTCTGTGCGTTTGTGCGCATTAATCACAGAAACTGCTTAACTCATTTGGGTGCAGCTTCTAGTAATGTACCTATTGTGGTAAGCCTCACTTAACATTTAGTATTTGTTTTATTTCAATCGGTTCATAAATTATGTTAAAAAAAGTTACGTCAATTTAAAGAATCAACCGGAGATGAACTCAAGCGAAGCAAATGTGAGTCGCTAGTAAATTAATAAAAGTTTTTTTTTCAGATTTTGCGTTCGTCTTATTCATATTTCGCAGTGCTGAATCAAGCTAATAATAAGTAGATCAGTTTTGTCACAGTTAGCACATACTATATACTTCTAGTTAATGCACACATAATGAAATAAAAAAGGTATTTTCATGTTGTATTTAGACGATATAAATATGTAGGAACGCTAAATTAAAAGTAGGTAAAAGGCGTAGGAAAATAAATATTTTCGAGCTGGTAACACCGGACGTAGTCTACTACACACACAGATAGATATTTAAACTACAAGTAATAATATAATGGCCTCATACTATTAACCAACCCAGTAATTTCCAGCATTGAGTCTAATTACACTTAAACGATAATTTTCCTTTGTTGACAAAAAGCAATAAATTTTTGATTATCCCACATTTTATAGGATCAGTTTATTCGCCGACTCTACCTGGCTCGCAAAGTTGTCACGCCGACTACCTATTTCGCATGTTTTTAAAATCATATTGTATTTATGCACATTTTAGCCACTATATAATTAAGAACTTTAAGATGTAGTTACAATGGCAAGAAATAAAACACACGTAGTCACAAATTAATTGTTTTATTCATGGGTAAACCGTGTATCACATACGCGTTGTGTACATTCACGACATTTTAGGCAAGTGTGATTAGTTTATGAAAAATTATGAAAAATACACATTTTGTAACAAACACTCAACGACACTTAACTAATAATAAATTTAGTCAAGTCAGTAAATTCGTGCGCTTAAATTAAATAAAGGCGAGCGTGGAGAAACAACCATGTTTCAGAATTACCATTCATATCCCACATACTGGCGCCAGTTTTACGCTACAACTAATTTGCTTAAGCAACTAAAAGTTTAAAAAGTTTTTGCGATAGCGATTCGTAGAACAAAGCGGAAGCAAGTTATTCGAAATGTGTCAACTCACAGCCTGATGACGTCACTCACAGCCACTATAACATATTACTATACTTCAGCAATTTTAATTGTAGCATAAACGGGTTCTTTATCAAAAGAGAATGATGCGATACAAACGTTCGTCCCACTCGCACTGTTTTTATCAAAATTTTACAACCGCTAGACATTACCGATACACCGTTCCGATCTTCTGGGAAACGGCACGCTTTAGGGACACCAATTTAACTGACAGGCTGAAATTGCCGCGTGACATTTCCCAGCAAGAGCCTGAGAGCGCTAGAATAAAACCTTACCCAATACCCTTAATACTTTCCACAATACTTAACATTAAAGAAAGAACAGACTCGACATACTCGGCCATTATTTTATTTAATATGGTAACAATCAGTCGCATGTCGTTACTTAATTAAGAAGCTCAGATTAAATGATATCGGGCCGTCCGTAACACCATAATGCCACCACCATATATGTATGCGTAACTTCTTTACAATAGCATCGAAAATTTAACACCGTTATATGGTGTTATGGCGGCCATCTTGAAACTTGATCGATTGTCACAGTATTAATTATTGTTTTGCAAAAATGCGTAAAGTAAAATAAGGCATGGTATATTATTATCTATATCACAGCGGTACAGAAATTTCGAGATATAGATTTCGATACATTTTAGAAAACAATATACATATTATGATTAAGCATAAAATAAAAAATTAACATTTTGATTAACAATTATCGATCATTTAGAATTAATTTCGTAAATATAATATTATACATATATTTATTATGTAAAAATAAAGTTATTAAAACATTACGAGAATTTTTAAAACTAAATAAATATAAAGCCTAAATACAATACAAAAATTTATATTAGAAGACTCAAGGCGTCATTGTATCCAACACATTGTATGAAGCGACTACACGGTACTTACGTATGTATATAGTAAAAAGTATTACTTCATATTATATAAATAAGATTATATTAAAATGCACATAGTAACAAACGTTTAATTTTATTTAAAATATTCAAGAAAAGCTTTAAAAAATTCGAGCACAACCGAATGATCGTAAAATAATTCATCACAACGCCGAAAATGCAAAATATGTATTATACACCTACATATTATGTAATATGTATGTACTGGTCTCGTCTTATAGAATAAATTATATTAAAACAGCTCCTTACCGCGAATTAAATTCAACCAATTCAACACCCGAAAGCAATCTAAATATAGAAAATTATTAACTGATTTTTAAACTTAATTTATTATATTAAAATACATAATATTATTTTGTATCAACGAACAAAATATAATACATAAAATAGTAGGGGAGCCCAAGAGGGGATTTTCTGTAGTTACTCGAGCGCGGCAGATTAACATAAAAGAGGTTACCTTGCACTCTATTGAGTACTTTCACCATAATATAAGTCTCAACATTTTTTAAATATTTTAATCGGCTTCCCTAGACGCGCCCCTTTATGTAGAAGACTTATATTGTGGTGAAAGTACTCAATAGAGTGCAAGGTAACCTCTTTTATGTTAATCTGCCGCGCTCGAGTAACTACAGAAAATCCCCTCTTGGGCTCCCCTACTAAAAAGATTTAGCTCTTATTAAAACGAAACTGTTTTGTTCATGACAACGTAGTGTTCTATCGTTAGCGACCAAACTAAGGGAAAACTGCACTAATAAAGTGAATTCTTGGTACATTTAAGCGTTAGTACATACTATTATTCTTTGTTGCTATAGAGAATTCAATCAAACTACTACGTAATAGCGTTCACAATTGAATGCATACAGATAAATACCTAGTAATAAGAAAGAGAGTGTAAAAATATATTAGCATCTACATACAACTGCACTACAGCATTCTTTCCCACTATACTACTACGGAGAGTCAACTACTCGTACTTCACTGAAGACACTAACACTACTTAAGTAAGACCAAATAGTATCTAACTGCTAAATTGTCTATATGTTAAATAAATAATGGTTACATAATTTCTAATGAAAATTGATTATATTAACTTTGTTATTATTTAAGATAACTTATATAATATTAAGTTATTATTGAAGAACGATTATATTATATTTTTAATTTTAACACATTAACAAGGTCACTTTATGCGGGTAGTTACTATTTAGTCCTAAGCTTAAGTGGGCCTTGGAGTCTCTACGTTGAAATTATTGCTAATGGTAATATGTTTTTTAAATATAATTGAATAAAAGATATGTGTATTATGTATGTGTTAGATGATTTCCTACAGTAAAATTACTTTAAAAAATGAATATATTACACTAACAATTAAATAAAAACGAAAAACAAATAATAATTAAAAACTGTGACCTTATAAAAAAAACATAGTTGATTTCCAAGGCCCCAAAAATCGCGCCATAGATTAAAGACAAGAATATGTCAAAAGTGTAAATACCATAACTTATTATATATTTAAATGTAGTATACTCTTTGTCTTTAATTTATGGTCAAATGAAACCAACATCCCGCCTGATCAATGGCACTATAACGAATTTACGAACAATAGCATGGTCCTGTATTCGATATTAGCCCAATTATAACATTTAGACCAAAGATATAGTCAATTTAATAACAAGTATGAAAATATATATTTCATTTCATCATCGAGCCGAAGTCGCATACAGATTACACAATTTTGAGCAAATTATTATCGATTCGGCTAAATGTAAACTAGCTACCCGTTTTATGTATTTCGTTTAATGGTTCGTCTGTTCATAAGAGCAATTTTACAATGTCAAGGTAATGAGGGCAAGAAATCAAATAAAATAAAAAAATTATAATCAACAGAATTAGAATAATTACAATAACAACAACAAATTTATAATGTTCTATAATAATATGCGAGCCGCACGATTGAGCGTTCGTGTCGTGTACAAACACTTTTACACACTTTACACCACACTTGAGGATAAATTGATTATTTTTGACATTTTCTTATTATTAATATGGCGCTATTACGTATAACGAGTGCGTGCTGGCGGCGCGGCGCGGCGTGTGTGTGGCGATCGCACGACTTCACATAAGTACATCATTTCCTACGACAAATTAGGAATCTACACTAGTACTAGGCGACAGGCGTATTTATTTAACAACATCCAACACACTATACAGTCGACAATCCAAGGCTTACAAAGCAGATATATTTCCACCTAACAATGAGACAGATAAAATCTGTCCTTGTCGGAATCTGTTATTGTCTCTGTTTTAATATTTTTCAAATTTAACCTTTGTTGTAAAAAAAAGAAAAAATATATATATAAATGTTATAGTTTACAACTAATAAGCTTTCACTGGAGATGCACCTCACGTATTATATAAAATTAAAAAATGCAATAAAACTGCAATAATGTAAAAAACAAAACTTGAAAATATTTTCCACGTTTGAGTCCCCTCAAAACTAATAGACATACATATATTAAAACATTTTAGATTTGTAACAACAACAGTATATTGACTTAGTTCTTGAGTTCACTATAAAATCTACTAATGTCATTGGATTGTCGACATCTACTAAAATAAATATGCATAATTAAACACTGTAAATTTCAATAAGCTACGTCGTCAGGGTCTCACTCTCACAGGACGTTGAGGTACTACTCGTGAAACGGTTAACATATATTTGTACAATATTTCCATAAAGTATGCCCAGAGGAAAGTCGTGTCTCAAAATGACAACTTCATAAATAATTTGTGAAATATAAAGAATTGTAATTAAATAATATTATATTACAAATATAGAATTCATGACCATTGAAATAGGTACACAATGTTTGCTTTAAACCTAAAAACTCTCATTTTAGACCCGACTTTGCTCTAGTAAAGTTTGTTCACTGGTTTGATTTTTTTTTGAATAAAAGTGAATTTACATCATACATATAAATAACAATTTTACTTTCACAATATTATTCGAAAAAACAACAACAAACATGCCGTTGCTTTCTCTAAAACTTGCTTTAAAAAGTCCAATTAAAACGATGTTCTATTTTATAACCTAATACCATACCACAGGGTTCAAAATCGCGTGCAATATAAATGCATGGCCTGCGTTCATGAAAATCAGTCCGAAGATGCCAAAAGGATAAGCGAAGCTTAAAAATGTCGTAAATTTGAAATACGGTTTAATTTCCTTAAGGATCCTTTCGACTGGACGGGCGCGAGGCGCCGACGTCACCCGCCTCAATGAGCGAGTGTGAAGTGCGTAAGCGTTTCTCTTACCTCTAAAAACATCGAAAGCTACTCCCATATTGATCCGGGTGACGTCCGCCGCCGGCTGGGCACTTAGAGATCAAATTTTCATCTTTACATCTTTTAGGATTTAATATGGCCATGGACCGTGGCTGCACTTGGCGACTGCCGTCAAAACCGGGTTGTTTGACTAGACAAGGTAGAATACTTCCATTCTTACGATACATTATAACGAAACGTAATATTAATAAATTTAAAACACGACATTTTGTCAGTGGTTACATTGGAATTTCATTGGGAAAAAGTATGGAGATTCCTAAAATTTGAGCGATTTATAAAAATTCGGGAATAAATTCATTATAATTAAAATTGATTTGATCCTTCATATTTCCATTTCAAGAAGAATGCCTTTCTCAACATTATTGGCTCACCTCGTTCATTGTATTCCAGTACCTAGAGGGCAAAACAAAATATTTTTTAACTAAAAAGGGAAAGGTTGGTATACCAACTTACAAACAACATATAGAAATTGAATATGTACTATTTACTTTTGTAACAAACAAACAGGACAAGAAAACTTCAAATGTTGAAGATATCAGACGTCACTATCGATGTGCGCGTTTCACGCAAAAAGTATTGAACAGATTTTAACTAAATTTTGTGTAGTGATAGCTTATTACTCGAGTCAACATTTAGGATATCTTTTACTATAGGAAAATCTTTCAGTCCCACGGGAAAACATAATAACTGGTTCTAACGTTGGCTAAACCTTAATACATACATCAAAACAATATATTAGAAAATTGTAGATCTCAATAAGGTTTACAGAAAAATCTGGAATAGAGTATAAGTCTATCTCCTAAGGTACACTCGCAATAACTATTCATATCTATTTAAAACGTACTGTAGAGACGCACCCGAGAGTAAGTCACTTTATTCTGTTTTTTAGTCTCAGAGACTAAATTGACACATGAAAATGTCAAATGCACAAATAATGCTATCAGCTCTTTTGTGTAGTGTTGCGAAACCGGTTTGTTGAATAGTAATTTTTTATCTAATATATTATATTATTCCAAAGTGTATCATTAAATTTCACTTTATTAATTCTAAATCATTAAGTATCATTAAAATCCACATTATTAAATTTAAATTTGCATTATTAATTTTGTATTATTACGTTTCAAATAAGTACCTACACATTATTTCAGGATAACTTATTATAAAAAAACTACCTTTTTATAAAAAAAACGTTACTTAATTTTATTAACATTAATTTTCTATAGTGCACATCACTATTTAAGAATTGCAAAAAAGTGGCAACCCACGTAATGTCAGTCTTGTCTCTGAGATTAAAAAACAGACTATAGTTAATAATAACTTTGTTCTATAAAGAAACGGATGTGTTTATAGCAAAACCGTCGTCACTACCTGCACCGTGCGCTCAGACTCCCAGCTCGCCGTACTGCACGGACCACTTCTCGTAGGCGGCGAGGCTGTGCGGCGACACGGACGGCCGGATGCGCTTCAGCGAGTCCACGAAATCCTGGTACGTGATACTGCGCACCAGCGACAGGTCCAGGCACTTCACCTCCTCGGGGTCCAGCTCTGAGGGGACACTTTTATTATTAAAACGAATTCTAATCAATTTGAAATTTCGAGTGAAACCGCAGTCGAAAAGATCGTTAAGTATAAATATTTAAGCATTTTTTTGTATAACCTGCATATAATATATCAATAATAACTTAGAATTTCTTAATAGAACACTCCAATAACTACAACTGGCGCTCTCGAGATATTTCACAAGTGTACCTCTGATGGGCCCGAGCGCGGCGTCGCGGCAGAGCGCGGTGAGGTCGGAGCCGGAGTAGCCGTCGGTGGCGGCGGCCAGGCGCGCCAGCTCGGCGTCGCGCAGCGCGCAGGCCGCGGCGCCGCGCGCCAGCACGCGCCGCAGCAGCGCGCCGCGCGTGTCCGCGTCCGGCAGCGACACGTACACGCGCTTCGGGAACCGCCTGCACACACACACACCACACCTTATACGGTTAGCGGGCGATCATTCATAGTCAAATACATGTAACCGTACACACAGAATAAAAAAGGAGTAGAACCTAGAAATATGGCACCCGCCTATCATTTTTACTTTATTCTAAACTTACGACACTATATATACTAAAGAAGTATAATTATATAGTACTCAAAAGAAAACATTAACAAATAATAAAGTATTAATAAAATAATACTCTACATTTTTGGAATAAATGTTGACATACGGAAAGAATAACAATAATTAGAAAAGTGAACTCATTATATTATATTAAAGTAACTTGTCTCAAAATATCCCGGAAACAACAATTTAGAGTTTAAAGCATTAGTACTGCAAATATTATTTGTTTGAATACCCTCCATTTATATATACTAACGCCATTGTACGCCGCCATTTTGACTAACTCCATTATACACCACCATTTTGAAAAAAAACCTTAAATATTGACAAATTGTAAATGCCAATTTACTCAAAAAAATATTTTAACCCTTTTAATAAACTTCTTAAACTTCGTAAACTAAATGTTTACAAATTATGATGTCTATAATGTATAAAACAGTGTTGCCATCTAAAAAGCCGCCGCGTTACCCGACAGAGCGGGTGGTGTACCTGAGCGCGGCCTCGTCCAGCTCGTGCGGGCGGTTGGTGGCGGCCATGACGACGAGGCGGTCGGCGCCGGCGGCCGGCAGCCCGTCGAACTCCACCAGGAACTCCGTCTTCAGGCGCCGCGACGCCTCGTGCTCGCCCGCCGACCGCTCGCACAGCAGCGAGTCCACCTCATCCACGAAGATGATCGACGGCTGCGAGACACGACACATCTCAGGGTCTTTGTACTAAAAGGACTTTTGCACAGCGACGAGTCTACCTAGTCCATAAACCTTATGACGAGCTGACAAACTGACGGTTGGCACGGAAAAGGAAATATACAAATGTCTCTAATTATAATAATTATAAGTACATCTCAGATTAGCCCTTATTATATTTTGTGCCAAAATACTAACAGAAATTCTAAGTGAGATATTGAGACATTGAAATTGGAAAACCTTTTTTCGCAGATTCGGAGATTCAACAAGCAATTCAGTTGCGTCAAAAAAAGTTATTGCTGTTATTGTACAAATAACCACAAAAACATTTGATAGGTAGTTATTTTGAAACCACAAACCGACGGTAGACCACAGCCCGACAGTATCATTTTATCAATCCCCACCTGCAACTCGCGCGCGACCTGGAAGAGCGCGCGCACCATCTTCTCGCCGTCGCCCACGTACTTGCTGGTGAGCGTGGCCGCCGAGATGGAGAAGAACGTGGCCGAGCACTCCGCCGCCACGCAGCGCGCCAGCAGCGTCTTGCCTGGTGGTGGCGGTACCCAGTTATACTTTCTTACATTTACAAGAACGTTTGACTATTTTAAATTCTTTTAATATTTTAAATAAAAGTATCTTTTTTGGATTTTTTCGCGGATTCATTTTAATTTTTAGTTCCCGAAGTATCGAATGCTTTACAACCGAAAATTTGTATAAATCGGCGAACGAATCCTAAAAAAATATTTTTTTAAATATACTACGTGGTACTCAATAAAATTCAATATCACATTATAAAAATATTTTCATTTCTTGACCGATTGGGAAAATTTAACAGTTACCATTGCCAGGAGGACCGAAGAGCAGTAGCCCCTTAGCTGGTGACCGGAGCCCCGTGAACAGTTCGGGCCGTAGAGATGGCAACACCACCATTTCCTGTAACGCTTGCTTGGCCGCCTAGAAAAACAATAGCATTAATTTTATAAACAATATGCCAATATTTATATAGACGAAAAATTATTTCAAAAGATCAAAGTGATTAAGTATTGTTTTATAATAAATGTATGTTTATAAAAACGAAATACTACTCGTTGAATAATCACAAAATCTCAAAAAGTATAAATGCTACAAACTTGAAAATTGGCTTGAAGTTTATCATATGTATGCGGGATTTGTATCCGCTATAAACGAGTTTTCGAAAATTCAATCTCTTAAGAAGTAAAAAAGAGTTAGGTATAAAAATGTGTTACAGTGACTTAAATTCAATTTATTTTTTTGTGTATTAAATATGATTATTCTAATTTAAAATGTTAGACAGTAGATCTTCCGGAGGAGAAAAATAGCAAGATTAAGGGAATAACCAAGAAAAATAGTAGGAGATGATGTGAAATTTAGAAGAGGATTAGTTAAAATAATAAATAAACTAGAAACGCTAGCTTAAATATTTGAGTAGATCAACCATACTAACGTCTTGACCGGCGATATCATCCCAATGAACCTTCGGGCCGCCCTCGATGATCTCGTCCAGTATGAGCTGCACCAGCTTGGGGTCGACGCCGCGCACGGCGAGCGCGGGTTGCGGCGTGCGGCTGCGCGTGGGCGTGCCGCGCTGCGACCCGCCCGGCGCCGCGCGCCGCACCGGCGACCCATTCACTGGCACCTGGTATGCGCTCTATATTTGAGAAAACTGCTTTGTTAATGGGGATGAAATGGTTAGTGAAGCGACAGCTTAGTTATAATTATTTCATTAGTACGTTCATCGATTAAGACATTTTCGATAATTATCTATATGTTGAAATAACATAAATAATTTTTATTTATTCATTTGTATTATTCAAAGATTTAAATGAAAATATATTTCATTATATTACATTAGAAAAAAGCATTTGTTTAAGTATTTTGAATTGAACAATATTGAGTTATATCTTGCTAGAGATTCAATTCAATTTTCTTGATAATGGCTTCGAAGCGTGCCAGTTGAGCACAGATTATGCTAATAATGAAAGATGAATGACATGCCAATTAGGTTAGTGTACGATGTTTCATATTAAATTTCATAGATGTGTGATTCATAATAGCGTGAATATATTCAAGAGTTAATTCAGTTTTAGTATAAATAAAGCAAATCATAATTTTTTATTCCATTGTTAAGCTAATTGCTCTAAATAATTGTATCGAATATCTGCTCGACACGCAAAAACGAAACAGAACATTAACAATATCCTTGAATACAATAACAGTAAGTATTTTATTAATAATATATACATGAGTATAACGTTAAAAAAATTACGGTTAAAATAGTAGTAGTAAGCTTTCAAGTGCATATACAAGACGGAAGTAGCGGGTTCGATTTCTGCGTTAAATAAAAAAAAACAAATCTACTATCAGCTTTTTTGCATTATTACAGTATGATTATATTATATCATTCCCATGCAGTTGAAAAAAGCAGCCTAACACTATTTCTCAAGTCCTCCTACTAGAAACTGAAGAATCATTTTCAAATCAGAAGACAAGTGCAGATATTTTAAAACAACAGATAGATCACCGACTTGAGTGTTGATACCTTGACGCACAAGTGCGACTCGCACTTGACTAATTTTATTTATATATGTAGTTTAAATATGTCCGTATATGTCAGTTTGTCACAGTCAAACATTGCGACGTGAAGGTGCAAGTTGCCACCTAAATCGCACCATCCTAAATTCGTCGAAAAAGGGTGTGTGCGTCATCACATTAGTCTGTACCTACTCTATAGTAGAAGGGACAAATGATTGCATTTAGTGTAGGCAATTATAGTATTATTTTAAATACCTACAGATCTTTTTATAACGAGCTCCAAAATCGTATCTTTTATTAAATAAATACGAAAACGGAAAAGTATTCATATTTTTATCTACTAAATATTTTAACTTTTTAATTAGTTTGACAAATGACTGAAGGTATAGTGCCAAGTTTCACAGAAAACATTTTAAGATTTTTTGTTCTAATTGCTATAGATATTTGTATTATACGAATTTAAAGTTATAAATAAATAAATATGTTGGGATATTAACACACAGCACCATCTAGTTCCATGGTAAGCTACGAGGCCTGTGTTGTGGATACCAGATAGGTGATATATATATATATATATATATATATATATATATATATATATATATATATATATATATATAACATGAAATACATTATAAATATAAACACCCATGACAAGGAGTATGACCATTTGTGTGATGCACACAAATGAATACCCCCAGCGGGACTCGAACCTGCGACCGCTGGCATAGCAAATAGGGTAACTACAAACTGAGTTAAGCGTGTCGTCATGGATTAAATTATCGTTTAAATGTTTCGAATATTCTATCAAGTAAATTGGCCACTTACGGATAATTGGCGCTTTACAGCAGGCGGTGTAGACGCCGGCTTCATGGGATATCTACTGTAGCCTCCGTTAGAGCTGTTCGGTTGTGATGACGAGCGTCCCATAGAACGTGGCAGCGTTTGAGACTTCATCAGGGGCCCTCCACCGCTCGGCACTCTTCGACCGGCTGTAGTCAACTTGCGTCCTGCGACTGTAGAAACGTTTTTATGTTAAATAGTCCGAAAGATTCCTACTTTGAGTTAAAGTTAATTTGTGTAGTAGATATACTATTGTGACATGCAATGAAGCATGCTATGTAATTACATAGGTTGGTTATAGAATCAAAGTTGTATCCTTCGTCGTGTCAATGACATAGAATAAAGAAATATAGGCTAAATTAATAATTTTCACATGTATTTAAATTTTAGTTTTGTATGTATAAGGCCTTAACTACTTCTTAAAGATAGAAATTTTGACCTTTTTTTAAATAATGAAACGACCGTCTTATATGACCAGGCGTAATCTGGTAATATTTTTCGTACCAACGGACCTTGAAAACTTTTTAAGTGGAATGTGACCTCAAAATATATTATATGTGGTAACGTTATAAGGTTAAATCGGTTAAAACTTAATAAAATTAAAGCAAACATAAAATAATTAATTAAAACAATTTGGGCGCGATCAAGAGAGCCAAGATCACTCTTTCTATTTCCGACTTCGACATTTGCATTGGGCGCTGCGGTCGTATACGAGTACATGTAATACATGCCGTGCTTCTTAATATCTCATACGATCAATTATACTAAATGCCATAAATTAATTACAATTACTAACAAATGTTAAATTATATAATAATATTATCGAATAAAATTTTTACCGAGCCGAATTAAATTATTTTTTGGAAAATCTTATTGAAGTAGTCATTATTATCGATAGAGGCCGAATTTATAGTTTTTAGAATTTTCTCTGTGTGTCTGAGAACGCATCACGAGAAAACCACGGGACAGATTTTGATGAAATTGGGTAGTAGCTGATTGATTATTCGGGTCAACCTATAGGATACTTTTTACTGCGGAAATATATCTCATCTCTGAGAAATCTATACTAAACGTCAAAACGTAACTAGGGACAAACCCGAGCGGAGCGAGGGTGAGTCGCTAGTATAATAATAAAATTATTTGTCAATTTCATTTACATACGTGATTGATATAGTTTCATTGATAGAGCGCCGTCTCTAACAATGGTAAAATAGAAATAAAGAAGTTAGAGGTTAATGACAAACAATAATTACTTTCAAAGTGTAGCAATTATAATATCGAGTTCCTTATGTTATGACTACGAAAGTGTGTTTGTTTGTCCTTCTTTCATGCAGCGTAGGTACTATTTGCAACGGACGAACGTGATTTTTACCATAGAAATTGTTTATAAGACGGAGAGTGATGTATTCATAGGCTACTTACTATGCGGTACACGAATTGGTTTCCTTGCTGATCGTTACTAATACTACAAAAAAAATATAGAAGAGTAGGTACAGATAACAAGACGACATAGTAGTATTTTTCATTTCATATAAACAGTTCTAAATAATTGATTAGCCGTGGTGTAGTCTGTGGAGTTGCATTTCGGTCAAGCAAAGAGGACGCGCCGAATTGATTTTACTATAAGTAGACTCGATTATAAATGCGAGACTGTACAGTAGATACTTCTGAGTATTATCTATATCTACATATAATAAAATTGTAACTAAGTCGAATCTGTACATAGAATATTCTTTGGAAAATCTTATTGAAATAAACATTATTATCGATACAGAGTCCGAATTTATAGTTTTTAGAATTTTTGTCTGTCTGTCTGTTACCGCATCACGAGAAAAACACTGGACAGTTTTTGATGAAATCGAACTCGAAGCGAAGTAAAGCTGAGTCGCTAATTCTAAATAATAGATTAATGATACTCTATCTTACCGTGAAAATAAATATAATATGTAGGTATAACTTTAACATATCCGCTAGTTTTTATTTAAAATCTCCACCCAAAATCATAGAATAAACTAGTATTGCCCGCGGCTCCGCCCTCGTTCAGACGGCCAAAAACCAAATTCTTAGATTTTACATATTAGTATACTCTTACATTGCAGTTTTTGTATTTTTCTCAGAAATGAGATATTTTTCCGCGGTAAAAAGTATTCTATATGTTTACCCGGATAATCAGCTATCACCATACCAAATTTCATAAAAATCCTTCCAGTGGTTTTTCTGTGATGCGGTAACAGACAGACAGACAAAAATTCTAAAAAGTATAGATTCAGCCTCTGTATCGATAATAATGATTAATTCAATAAGATTTTCCAAAAAATATTTAATGTACAGATTCGACTCAGAATTTTATTATACGTATAGATTTATTGACTTACTAAATCATTAGAATCTGCCATTTCTAGCCATACAAGCTGCTTTTCCGGGTTTAGCACTATTTATTAGGGTGGTTAATTTCCCGGGGGAGAAGCCAACTCCTACCGGGCGCGTCCCCAGGTGGCGGATAGGGGAATGCCACCCGCTTAGGGCGGCGGGTGGTACCGGAGAAATCCGGCGCGGACCAAATGGCTTGGATGGGGCCGCTCGTCTAGGCCTCGAGCCGAAGACGTTGCGGCCACCGGATGATGGGTGCCGGTTGCGGGACTGTGGTCGCAGGCCCGCATCCGGCGGAGGAGTAGGCCGCGGCGGGAGAGGAGTGCCGGTATTTCGGTGCGCCGTTCTCCCTACCTTCCGCGGCCTAGACGGGGCCGCCACCGTTTGATGGCGGACGCGGTGGGGCTGCAGGGGAAGAGGAGTGTCGGTGTGTCGTTGCCGCTCTCCCTGTCCTCTGCAGCCGATTGGAGGTGGCCCACTTCGGTGGGCGGAGGTTAGGTTTAATGGGGCTGCTCCGGGTACCTCTCTGGCGTAGCAGAGTTGACTGTGGAGCAGCCCCATTGGTTTGGTGGTCTGCCTTTTTAGGCAGACCTGCCGCCGGGGCGCCGTAGTAGTTATGCGCAAGCGATCCTGCGGCGTCCCATTAAGGCGGAGGGGAGGGGAATGTCGGGTTTTAGTGGGTAGTACCGGCTCTTCTAGCCGGTGAGCCCCACATCACCACCTGGGGGATCAGGTGGTATGCGTAAATGCATTTCCCGACATAAAAAAAAAAAAAAAAAAAACAAAAAAAAAAAAAAAAGGGTGGTTAATTAAGCAGTCAATACAGACAAATTTTACAAATATACCAAGATTAAACTAGCGACTCACCCTCGCTCTGCTCGGATTCGTCCCTAGTTACGTTTTAATGCTTAGTATAGATTTCTCAGAGATGAAATATTTTCCCGCAGTAAAAAGTATCCTATACGTTGACCCGGATAATCAGCTATCATCACACCAAATTTCATCAAAATGTCCAGTGGTTTTCTCGTGATGCGTTCCCAGACAGACAGACAAACAAAAATTCTACAAACTATAGATACGGCCACTGTAACGATAATAATAACTATTTCACTAAGTTATATATTAGATAATTATTTATTTTCCAAAACATATTTATGTACCTACAGATTCGACTCAGAATTTTATTATATTTATAGATAATGAAAAATTAAACACTGGTAGCCACAGAAAATATCCGATAGTTGAAGTTTATATATTATGAATAGTGTCGTCGGAGGGACCTTGCGGTTCTCCCACGCTTACTTGTAACTTTGAAGCGAACTATTTTCAATGACTTACCGTACCGCGATCGAGAGCCGGCTACGTTTTATTTTGCTCTCAGAGATGCATAATAGTGAAAGCCCTATTGACATTTTTTGCACGACTTTCAGAACAGCTATCCATCTATGTTATAGGAATAGTTCGATAGTGTTAAGAGGGTATTGTAAAAGCACCATTGAATCGAAGCTCACGATTTGGTAAAAATTTCGTGATTACTTTCGCCGATCACTATATATGGCGTGATTTAGAAGGGAGAAACGTACGTTTGTAAGAACTACATCATTATCTAACGTGCCAGAAAAAATTTGGTTAGTTTCTTTCACTTAAATCACTACATATTATAAAGTCCCCCGCCACGTCTGTCTGTCTAGCTGAAAACGATAAACTTAAAATCTACCGAAGTCCAAACGGATTTTTATACGGTTTTCACCAATAGATAGATTGATTTATGAGGAAGATTTAAGTGTACCTATACCTAATTCATGAAGGTTTTGTGTAAATTGGCTTAAATATGATGATGATTGTTGAAGATGTAAGAATAAATCATACTGACTGAGAGATTTATTGGTGTGCGCCGCGTAAAGTAATAAAGTTACATGAAAACAATGTGCAGTAATACCCCGACTTACGGTACCCCGTTTTACGCGAATTCGGAGATACGCAGTTTCTCTTTTTGATTGCCACGTGCATCAGCTCTCCCACTTTGCCATGTTAGTGTTCCGTTTACAGCAGATTTGAACGTGTTCCACGTGGAATTGTTTTACGTACGCTATGCGTTTTATTGATAACCTCTAATTATATCACCCAATAAAACAAAAAATGAGTCATTTGAACCTAACAAGAAAAGAAAACCACTTTCTTTGGAGCATTAGATGATTTTATCAGATTTTAAAGCAAAAATAAAAATTTGTGAAATGGCAAAGAAATTTGACTTATGACCGGAATCAAGTATCAAAACGGACTGAACGTCAACGGACATTAAAACTTAACTCCAACTTAACGACATCAAAATATCTTCGGTTTACGTTGTTTTATTCATAACAATGAAAATTCTTTTATTGTCTAACATTTTATCAAACATCTTACTTCTATATTACTATTTTCTTTAGACTGTCCTGTCCGTCTGTCTGTCTGTCCTGGTCCCGATTAAACATACTTTATATGTATTTATACGCAAAGTTGAACCCCGACTTAGGCGAATTCGACTTACACGGCTATCGCTCGGTCCCACCTATCGCGTAAGTCTGGGGTATTACTGTACTACAAAATTATTCCTGTTAAAAAGATCTTCATATGAAATGGTAGCAACACTATGCGAATTAGTTAATTATAAGAGGTAACAGCAGTAGTAGATGTTACTCTTTATGTCGCTTTGTCAGATAGAGTATCTAGTTTATAGAAAGTTTATCGACGGCTCTTATTTATAATTTTATAATCGGAATCGAAATATCATCGTCCGAGACTGTCCTCATTTGCGCGTTAT